TCTCGGTCCACGTAAAACTGGAGGGCCAGTGTCCTGGAGAGTTTATCTCCAACTGCCTCAACACACCTGCCAGGAAGTTTCTAGTATATCTAGTAAGAGCTTAATTAGCTGGTTCAGGTGTGTTTGATTAGGGTTGGTGCTAAACTCTTCTGGACACCGGCCCTGCAGGACTGAGTTTGGACACCCCTGATGTAAAAGAAGACATCATCTGTATGAACTGTTGCCTCAGACCAAGCATGAAAATCAGCGTCAGGGGGAAGTGATCCATGTTTTTATCTTTACACAGCAAAATAAAGGCTTATTTATGCCTGCACACAATTTACTACAGACTTTTTCATCAGGGATATTCACCAGGTTATAAAACCTCATGAGAGTGAGAACTAGTTACATGATACAACACTGTATTTATGTATAAACTAAATGTATCTGTAATCTGTTTTAGGTTAGACCTTACCCTGAAATAGAGCTTAGTACAGTAAACTGAAATGCTGTTATCACTAAAATCATTCCTAATTCCTAAGTTGCCAAGCCAATAATTAAAAGAACAAGGGTTTTTGCACTTAAGGGATGTTTTCATAATTCCTTTAACAATTGTAGACATCCCAGGAACCAGGCAATTGCCCCAGTAATTATAAGAACAGGGTCTATGCATTAACAGAATGACTTTATAGTTCCTATAACTATCGATGGTCCTATAACTATTGAGGTGTTCCCAGGGATGGGCAAAAATACACTGAAATGTATTTTAAAATAAAAAACCTCACTTTTACATGTATCAAAATAAACTACAAAATACAGCACCGACAAATGTGTCAAAATATAACACTGTATTATGTATTTTGAAAATACGACAAAATACTTTTACATGGAAGCATGACATCTCTTCACAAATGTTCAATCAATAAGCATATTTAATGCAGAGTTGGACTATAGTACTACATCTCTTCAATGCGTTTCCATTTATTGTGTGGCCAATAAAATTGCAACAATCTCTTAACAGTAAAAAGGTGATATATGAAGAGGTTTACTTAATTTTTTTTGCAGTTGAAATCTTCAATACCTAATGTAGAAACATGATTTCTGAAAACTAGTAACTTCCATAAATCGTTTTTTGCAATCATACAGTAACATAAAACATGTTACCTCTAAAAAAAAAAAAAAAAGATTTCTTTTTGCAAATAAACTCTTCATATACATCCTGCTTCTGCCGTGTAACAGGAGTGGAGTTTTTGACCAGACTGTATAGACTGGAGTATTACTAAATATTTGTGTCTCATATATTGTATTGTGCCACTTTGACATCTCTTCATAAACAACACTGCTAGTGATTCAGGGCTTCTGGTAGTACCTAGAATAGCAAAATCAAGTAAAGGAGGTCGAGCCTTCTCTTTCATGGCTCCTACACTCTGGAATAGCCTTCCTGATAACGTCCGAGGCTCAGACACACTCTCCCAGTTCAAAACTAGATTAAAGACCTATCTGTTTAGTAAAGCATACACTCAATGCATCACCTAGCGGGTTCCACACTGGCTTCTGCATCTTGCTTATATACACTATGAACAGCAGCTACGCTAATTATTTTCTTTATTCTCTATTTTCACCTGGGGATACTCATCCCGAGGTCCTCAGATTATGCGGAGTCACTGATTGGATCCAAGACCAGCGACGTGATGATCCCAAGGATTCCATATCCGGGACCAGGCCATATCCTGAGCTGCTGCTGCGCTGATGGCCGTGGGGAGTGGAGAACATGAGTCTGATTCCAGCGACGCTCCAGGGACAGACGAGTCTTCGCTGAGGCCATCTTCCAGCATAAACCACGGCGAATGAAGTTCTGCACAAGACTTTTGGCCAGCGGAGAAATTAAAATGGTTGTGCCCAACTGAGTCTGGTTCTCTCAAGGTTTTTTTTCTTCACTCCCATCAGGTGAAGTTTTTTTCCCTCTCCGCTGTCGCCACTGCCTCGCATGGTTCAGGATTGGTAGAGCTACGCATCGATGAATTTGCTCTTCAGTGTTTGAACTCTCAGTAATGAATAAATCACACTGAACTGAGCTAAACTGAACTGAACTGAACTTAAACACTAAAACCTGAACCACACTGTTCCAGTTACTATGACCATTTATGTGAAGCTGCTTTGACACAATCTACATTGTAAAAGCGCTATACAAATAAAGCTGAATTGAATTGAATTGAATGTGCGGGTCGATGCTAAATAATCAATATTTCCGATATCAGCTTTGTATGTTTTAGAATTGATTATCTTATAAAAATATCTATATTTCAGTAATTTGGAGCAAATACAAATTTAATTGGAAATAGAAATACAGGGGAAAGTACCCATAATTACCCTAGTTTATCTAAATAATGGCGACTAGTTCTTCTGCCTGCCAAGTCATGTGCGTAATATGGCACTGTACAACTGCAGAGCACGCTAGCTAGCCACTCAGTCAGTTCACTGGCGTGGCACATGTTGTCAGTCACACTGTCATTGGATATGAGTGACCGCAAGCGAGTTATGTGTGGAGCTACTTCACTTCCATAAACTCAAACAATGCTGTTTGTGACATGTGTAACAAAACAGCGAGGTACTGTGGTAATACCACAAACCTAATCAAACATCGACATATAAATCACAAGACAGAATATGACAACATCATGACCAGGTGGTCAGAAGAGGAGGAAAGGAGAGGCACAGCTGCTGCTAGGGCGAGACAGACATCGCTTGCAGAGTCCTAAGGTGCAGCAGGCACTATCAGGTGCAGTGGGAAAAAATGTGGTGATGTGGCTGTATTTTGGGGGCTTGGGTTTTTGTAACAATGATAAAACAACGGAAAAAGGTTAAAAACCTTCAAGGGGACAGGATTAACATGTCAATAAAACAAAAGTGTGAATGTTTATTGTTTTAAATTAAGATGTTCAGGCAGGCGTTTAAGATATGCATGCTCAGATGCTGTCAATAAAAATATAAGTTGGATCTTTTTTGTATGATAATTCTTCATTTATAAACAATAAGCAATAACCTGTAATATGTCCTGTATTCAGTATAAAGTGACAGTTTTAAGTACACTACTTGTTACTTTAATTTCCCAAACAGTAATTTTGGGCAAAGTATCAGTATTGGATTCGTTCTTCATTTTACTTGGTTTTGTATCGAATAGGAAACCAGTGGTATCGCACATTACTATTCACTGCATCTGCAGATCATCTACTGGCATCTAAAACAGCCTATAATGTATTGTAGGAAACTCCACTGTAGGACTTATTTCTATGTTGTTCGTCATATATTTTCTTGGCATCTACATCAGCAATTCATCTAAAACTGCTATTATTTTAACAATATACTCATTCAGTTCATTTTCAGTTCCCAGTTTGCCCTCTTAAGGAGCACCCGTACACAATCTTTAGGTCTATTTATATTTTGGTTTATATTTCTAAAGTTCCTCTGCATTTCTGCAGCACTGAGACTGAGAATGATTATGTGCTGTTTAAGGAGTGATATGTTATTCCATTTCATTTCTTAAGCAAAGATGCTGATGCCAAATTGTACACTACACTGCCATTACGTATTGGTATACGTGTTAGTCGTACGTACTACTGGTCTTAGCATTGTGCAGTATACTATTTTTAATGATTGTGGACTTGCTCTCAAATGTACCCATGCAACTTTTCAGTTATTTTCTTTATGTGTGTTGCATAATTTCTATTCATACTTCAAGCATTGACCACCTTCTTAATCAATTTTCTGTTCTGATCTCAAACCTAGACGAATAACTGAGAAAAATTCAATGTAGACTTTTTTCCAAAGTGTTTTAAAATATTTAAAAAATACAAGACACTAAAGTAATTTAATACAAAATATAAACCCATGCATTTTCATGAACCATATAAAATACAAGTTTCAAAATACTATTTTTTATTTAAAATACGTATTTGAAATACATGTTTCATAATTACTGCCCATCCCCGGGTGTTCCCACTGCAGAACCTGGGAAAGGTTTTCGATATACAGTTGAAGCCAGAATTATTAGCCTCCCTTTGAATTTATTTTTAAAATATTTCCCAAATGATGTTTAACAGAGCAAGGACATTTTCACAGTATGTCTGATACAATTTTTTCTTCTGGAGAAACTCTTATTTGTTTTATTTCGGCTAGAATAAAAGCGTTTTTTCAATTTTTAAAAATCATTTTAAGGACAAAGTTATTAGCCCCTTTAAGCTATATGTTTTTGATAGTCAACAGAACAAACCATCGCAGATGGTATAACAACATACCTAATTACCCTATCCTGCCTAGTTAACCTAGTTAAACTAGTTAAGCCTTTAAATGTTACTTTAAGCTGTATAGAAGTGTCTTGAAAAATAATTTACTGTCACCATGGCAAAGATAAAATAAATCAGTTATTAGAAATGAGTTATTAAAACTATTATGTTCAGAAATGTGTTGAAAAAAAATCTTCTCTTCGTTAAACAGAAATTAGGGAAAAAATAAACAGGGGAGCTAATAATTCTGACGTCAACTGTAGAAACACCTTTTGGGGTAACTAAATCAGCTTCTATTTCAGAGTAGGGTCTAAAGCCTGGGACACACCATGTCGACACCAAAGAACTAGTGACAATGAAAATCAACTGTGTTGTTGGCTGCATCTGATGTCTTACAGCGTTTCCACTGGCACGTTGTAAATAAACATTTTACACACCCCAATAGTTGCGTTGCCAGCAGCAATGACTGCAAATTTTACGCTGTAGTGGAAGCATGCTGCAAGATTAAATCTTATTGCAAAACGCAGCTTGGATCAGTTTTCTCTAGTTGTAAACATTATTGAACATTTGTATAGTGTTGCTATTGACGGTCTTACATTATTTCAAAGTTCCTATTGCAGTATGAATGCAACCAGTAGGATGTTGTGGGTCCTGCCTGGTGTCTAGTTCCTATAAGCACAAAGCAGGTGGCTCAGTAAATGAACACTGTATGAGGAAAAAATGCTGATGAAAACTATATGTAAATCAAACAATACTTTATTTGGTTTAACAAGCATTGAGTAGTTTAAACAAAGTGGCCTGCCAGTTGACAACTGAATGAACAAACATTGTTTTAAATACCTACTCCACTGGTAACAAGCATTCAGCATACACTGCTAATATATTTAGTAACTTTTGATCAATTCTACTTCACTGCAGTCAACTGTGTAGCCCATTATAATCCAAAAATGAGAACTCTTCCTCTCACAACAGAAATGATAAAGTATATCTCTTCATTAAAAACAAAGTAAAAACAAACATCCCAAACACAAAATAATTCATATCGAAAGGAAAAAAAGTCATAAAAAACAAAATATTGCATTTATTAACTTTCAATAAGCAAAAACGAAACCAAGAAGGCGTCAGGAAACCACCACAATACTGGATAACGCAGCGATGTGAGCCATAGAAGTATTCACTAACACTGGAACAGTGAAATACAAACTCAATTGCTATCAAATGCTACAATCCCATGCATCCTTCTGAAGAAACTCCTGCATTTAGTGTTGTCATCTTTATCGTGTTTGTTCAACTAGGAGAAAACAAGGAGAAAAACAAATAAGTGAATGCACAAATTCAGATTAAATAATAACTGTTTTGACAGAAAACATTTTATAGAACAATGAAAATATGAAAAGAACCAAAACAACAATGGTGGACTGCAGGACTGTGTTTGTGTGTGTCAAGATTAGTGTTGTCACGATACTGGAATTTCGGTACTGAAAATGTAAAAACGTTTAAGCGCCTTTATGTAAACAGAAATGACTTTGATTGGCTGTGAAGGTTATTAGTTCACCACTGTCTGAGTGCAAAGACAGATACTAGGACACTGGAGCATTTTAAAGCCGCAAAAATCAGTCGATACATCAGTGGATCGCCTGTATGTCAGCTCATACAGACCAGCTAATCTTTGCAGCTTTAAAGGATCATGAAACACCAAAACACATTTTTTAAGGTGTATACAGTCATACATATGTGTGTCCCATGCTGCTAAAAACACTATTAAGACACACATATTTCACAAAAATAATTGAAAATTGGTTGTTTTTGCGTTATTTTGAACAAATTTGTTCTTCTGGTTTAAAAAGAAATTTTTAAGCAGTCATGGCTATGAGATCCATGTGTAAATTCCAGCGTGGAGACTGGATGTCTGTACCGGCTGGTACAACGTGACGTCTTTGAGCTTTCATCATTAATTCATGAGAAAGACCTGGTTCAAACCAATCAGCACACTCTATTTTGTATGAGGTGCAACTTTATTATTATGCATGATGTAGCTTTGAAGACTCTTTTTACCTGTTAAAGTGTTTAGACGCAGAGAGACGCCACGTTGCCAACCGTGAAAAAAACAAGTGGAAGAAGAAGAATTGTTCGAAGACATGGATTGTCAGTGTTGCGTTTATAAATGTGCCGCAACGAAGGTTTTGTTTTCAATTAACCGCAAGAGAGCACAGCTCGTGTGTGGATTACAGTGGTCTGCTAACATGCAACAAAAATATGTTTGCAAGGAACATTTGTCCCGGAGAGCTTTTCGCATCTGGAAAGTGAAATCTGGATTTGCCACTCCACTTCTTTTAAAAAAAGACGCGGCTCCAGTTTGTGTTGATTCTCCTGTCTCTGCAGATTTGGTAAGTGTGTGATCAGTGTTCTTTGTTTATGTTTATTTAGAGGCAAAGTCAGTTTGTATCGTCAGCAGTAGTCAAAATGTTTTAGTTACTAATTTAACAGTATGTTAATATCACTACAATATTATGGACTGAAAGATTAAAACTAAAGATCAAAATGTCATATTGACAAATCTGCAGTGTTTAAAAATGCGCTCAACAGGGCTTATAAATTAGCAGAAAATAGACGTTTTTTAAGAGCCCATATTATGGGTTTTTGAAAATTGCCTTCCATGTAGTGTGTAACAGCTCTAAGTGAAGTGAAATATTCAATTAAGGCTTAAATCTGTAAGTGTACAGTGTTTAAAACTGTTAATTAAGCTATAATAGAGTCGACTCATAGTGGTTTAAATGAGTTGTCTTGATAACGAGTCATTAGGTGTTTCGCGATGACGCATCTACAAAACACAAATAGTTGCACGCGCAAACCCGGGAGATTTTAAACCTGCGGTCCCGCCCTCTAAAGCCACACACACACACACACACGCGCACGCACGCCGGTCAATTGAAGTCACTCTGCGCAGATGGATATTATTGACAGTCTCTACCCAAAGATGAAACCTCAGCATTATCCCAGCCTTGTGCAGTTTGAGTGCTTCTGGAAACTACATGCTTATAAAGAAGACTTCATCGGCCGTTTGTTAAAGGAAGGATCAGTAAAGAGTACTGCTGGACTATGTCAGAACAAGGATCGGTTTCTTCCTCCATTTCACAAGTGTAAGTACCTGCGATTAAAGTTGTTGCCTTGTTTACTCTAGCCTGCAAATGTATTTATTTGTGATTTTATATTGTTGATTAGCTGCTGGGCATTTGACTCTGTCTCTCGCTGAAGGCAGTCAGTATTGATTAATCGCAGCAGGCTGTCATCGGTCCAATCAGCCCAGATTAGCTTCGCGCTAAGGAGGGGTTTGGGAACAAATGAATCACTGAACGATTCATATGGGAGTCACTGGGATAATTAGATAAAAATAAATGCAGATTATAAGTCCATTAAAGTGTTTTTTGACCTTGCATGCATACTAGATTGTTGTTGGAGACCCTTACAACCAAAATATGACCATATTTCATGTATAATAGGGGCTCTTTAAATTTCAGTAAAGACTGATACCAAAATTGCAGTATCATGACAACACTAGTCAAGATACTGACCAAGTACTGCAGACCTCAATAATACAGATCATCTGTAACCCAAACACTTTTCAAAAATCAAATGAAATGCTTTCGTTTTTAGTCCATTGTTATGTAGTTCGTATGTGGAGAACTGAATTATTTATCGATTTGATTTCCTATATAGAAATGTTCTCATCTTGTTCTGTACATTTTAAAGTTTGAATGTTAACACTCACTGTATGATGAGATGTCAATCTCCTCTGGAAGTTCACTGATGTTCACCTCAAACCTGTCCTGAACGTCATTCAAAGTGCGGGCATCATTTTCATCGGACACAAAGGTGATGGCCAGACCTTTTGTTCCGAATCTGCCAGCCCGTGCAACCTGAAGAACGAGAAAAGTTGGAGTAGTTCAGGTGAATCCACTACCAGCCAGTTTAATAACGCTTTTGGACAGTGTCACAGTAAAACAGTATCACGTGATCAGCACCAACCCTGTGCAGGTACGTGTCAGAGTCTTCAGGCATGTCGTAGTTAAAGGCAATGTTGACTCTTTCGATGTCCATACCTCGGCCAAACAGATTAGTGGCTACCAGGATCCTTCTCTGGAAATCTTTAAATTGCTGATATCGAGCTAGTCTTGGGGGGAAAAAAATAAGAATAAAATATGATACAAGCTCCCTAAAATCTATAAATATTAACTCTAAAATGAATTGAAATAGTTTTTTCTACCTTTCGTCTTGGGGCATTGCTCTATGAATGGCAATGGCAGGGAAATTTTGCTCCACCAGCAACTGAGCGAGAGCAATACAACGCTGCACCGACTTCACAAAGATCACCACCTGCAATACTAAGCAGCTGTAACACGGTGCCAGCCAATTCTCATCACTAAAATAATTCTTAATCCAAACAAGATCCAAAAATCAGCTATAGCTCCTGGCTGGCTCGCCAAAGATTTTTTGGGTCATTGACAACAACCAGCAGTCCAAACAACCATCGAAACATTATTATTTTTTGATACTGAATACAACTGAAAAACATTGATCAAATAAATGCTTGGTAAGTCTGAATTACTTAAAAAACATTTAAAAGAACTCTTACAGAAATCAATCTACATGTCACATGTTTGGTACTTTAGCCTAAGGTTGTATAAATTCAATCAAATCATATTTAAGCAAAACATTATTTCAAGACTAAAGATTGTAAATTCCAGATTGCTGTGTTTTTAAACCCTACTGCATTTTAGACCATACCACATGGGTTGCATGTAAGCTGCATAAATAAAATCTGTATTCAAATAGATCAAACTGTATTTTGCAGTAAAGCCTGTGAATGACCACAGTGCATTTCCCTTTCAGATATCCAAATGTATCTTAGAAAGGGCAAACTGTTGCAAATTATCCTAGTCTCTTTCTTGAGTCACTCTTTGGTCCCATTGAAACATGCTGTTAAGGCTCTGTATTAGACACCTGGTATTAAGAATCGTTTTTGTTGGTCCAATTACAAGAGGACAACACTAAATACAGGTGTAAAGGGGGTCTGAAGGTTTTGAGCTTGTCCACTTTCAACCACATTAAGAGGTGGCCAAAAAAGCATTTGATTGCATTTGTATTGTGTGAGCGCTCATGTAGTTGAACAGCCTCTAAACACTGCCCTCTGTCCGCTCAATGGCCGGACACGTCAGCTTTGTGTGAAACGGAAAGCAACTGCTCTCCTCGTTTTTCTCAATTATCTTATTATCTGATGATGTCTTAAGGCTGATATGTACTTCTGTGCCAAGCGCACGTGTATACTCCAGCCACCTCTCAAAAATTTTCCAACAATGCGTAGCGCAAACTTTGTGATTGGTTGGCTTGGTAGCTGTGCTGAGTGTGGGCTGGTTCAAGAGCTGCGCAAACCCGTTGAAGTGAGTGTTTACAAGTGTCGAGTCCTGTGAAGGAGCTTCAAATGGAAACTTTTGTTTTGTGTTTACCCTATACATAATGTTGCTGCACATGCGCCGGTTACCACTTCTGAACGAGCGAGTTTTAGCTACTTGTACATTAAGGTAGAATTAAAAAAAATATGGAACACTAGCAAAGAAATACAACACAGAAGCACATAAAAACCTATTGCCAGCTAGCGCTTTGGAAGTGTTATTGCAATAAAACACAAACAGTTCGCAGAAGTATAAATGCACGACTATACGCAAGGCAGGCACCGTGGGTCACACCAAATTCTCGACACAGAAGTATAAAACAGCCTTTAGTTGCACGAGCATTTCATCCACTCAAAATAAAAAAAAAAAACTAAACATGCACATTGTTTTGTGCAGCATCTTTAAGCTTAACAACAACTTTAAGAGCTAGGTTCTGATGTAATATTATTGCACACCAACAAGCATCGGGACCCACACATAATATCTCCCCTCAATAAAATCAGGACAGAAATGATCAAAAGTTGACAGAAGAGACACATTTAAATGGCAGGTCTAAACGATAATATGTCTGCTTTGTCCACTTGTGATCAGATCGACAAAAACAAATCTTAATACCAGGTGTGAACAGGGCCTAAGATGCATTGTTTTGAATCTGATCACAAACGGTTGACACTTTCGAGTAGGTGTAAATGGGGGTTAAATTATTTTAAGCTTGTCTACTTTTAAAGGTAGACAAATATGCATTTTAACAGTTTTTAAAAATAATAACTATCATTGTTTAGCAATGTGATCATCCCATATGGGCAATTGCATTTGAAAGATCACATTAGACCAGCTACTGACTAATAAATGTAATGGTGAGTAAACACACCAAAACAAGATATCTATGCTTCACTGCACAGTACCAAGGTATTTATTCTCTTGTTTACCAGAAAACACAACTTCATTTATTCAATAATATTTTTTCACACTGAATGTTCCCACTAAAGTGATACAAAAAGTCAAATAAACAGGAAAAGTTCCTAAAAATCCTATCACGAATGACCACAACAGAAAGAATGTAATACCAATGTGTTTTCTCAGACCACTTGTGATTGAATCACTGAAAATCATATAAATACATGGTCACCATGCTTCTCAACCACATAAGTGGAGGACCAGCAGCTCTGCACTTTTCCATGGCTATCCCTGAAACCGCCTACTACTCGGTAGGTACTGCATTTTAGCTTATACGTACTACTCAGCAATTAGAAAAGTAGATTGTACAGTATGAATGTCAGTAGTTAGAACTCGGAAGTACTACATTCGCTATTTTGTCATGATCACGTGAGTTGCGTCACTTCTCTCCCATTCATAAACTTTCTCGTGGGGCATCATGGGATAGCGTAGCATCCATCCAAATCTCGCAGGAAGTAGTAGGTCATCGCATACTGATTTTCAAATTCTATAAATTCGGACATACTACTCGGCTCGCATACTGATTTTAGCGTACTATATTGTATAGAAGTATGTCAACGCAGCCGATGTCTCCTTAACCAAACACACCTGAATCAGATCATAAGCTCATTAGCAGAGACTGAAAGACCAGAAATGGACAGACAAGAGAGACATCCATAACATGCAGTGTTGGTGGTCCTCCAAGAACATGGTTGAGAAACACTGGCGCAAGACATTTGCGTGTGTCCTTGTGGACTCTCAAGATACCTGGTTGAACTCCAACACATCCAGGAGATCAAAGAGCTTCCTGTTCTTCTCGTTGTCCTTCAGCTTGACGTAGTACTGCTGGAGGCCGTGAAGTGTCAACTTGGTCTCGTCGTCCACAAAAATTTCCATCGGCTAAGGACAACCAGTGGAAGCAGGAGGGAGGAAGGTGAGGAGGGGTGGAAGAGGAGTGTGCAGGTTCACGGGGTTAAGATTGTGTGACGATGCGTACAGGAAATTTGACAAGACATGGGTGGAGCAGATAATTATGTTACAAGGGTGTGAAAGAGGAAGTGGTATTTATGACAACGTGATGGCATGGGTGTCAATGGGGGACAGGGAAAGAAAGAACACCAGAACACAAAGAAAAACAAGGACAAAAGAAGTATAACGATTTTAGCAAAGGACAGCAGAGGGGGGAGGATGTGACAACGAGAGGGAGAAGATGGTGTTAGAAAGGAGATTTATGAAAAAGCAGGAGAAAGGGAGGGAAGAGAAGGGATGGGGGTTAGATTTACCCTCCCCTCCCATCCCAAGCCAATGAGGACACAGGACAGGACACAACACACACACTGTCTCTATGCGTTGATAAATGCTACCAGGCTGTCCTAGACTACTTTTAGCTATATCAAGCCTGAAATCATATCTGTGCTATTTCTGAATATATGTTCCAAAACTACACATCCTCCACAGAATGCAAAGTCAAACTAGTTATCGATGTGGAGTTTGGAACTGACTTTAAAATATATGTAGTATGGAGATATGAGTACTAAAGTCAACATGAAATCAAAACTCACCCGATTTGCTTTAAGTATACATTCCTGTTCTTATTGTGCATCATTCATCAGTACGTTCTTTCACACAACAAAATATAACTTGCCTCTACAAACTTCTTTTGGTTGATGTAACCTATGTCACTCCACATAACTTCACTGCAATTTGTAACTTTTTTACATTTTTCAAATTGGTGCCTTATTTATATGAATTTGTTCATTTTTTCCCCGATTGTAAATTTGCTTACGATCTGCTTAGCACTCAGCAAAGAACTTGTTTTAACATTATACACATTCACATTAGAATTCATAGCTTTTTTTACTCAGCACGAGTCAAAATTCACAGTCTACCATGTAAATGCATGTTATGAAAACAATTAGTCACTTAATAGGGTGTTTCTCAACCACGTTCCTGGAGGGCCATCAGCACTGCATGTTTTGGATGTCCCTTTGTCTGTCACACCCATTGCAGGACTTTCAGGCCCGTTAACACTAGAATGTTTTACTTTTAAAATGCCGTTTTAGAACGGAGACGATTCACATCCACTGGCATCTCTGAAAAGTTCTCCGTCCACACTATACTGCCGAAAACGCACATCACGTGATCACACACAGATTCTGGCATGTACTGCAGCATAAGTGCACATCTGAGCTCCAGGCAGTCAGTGGGTGATCTGCGAGCACCTCCCCGAGTAAGAGCAGTTCTTGTCGAATCGTTCAAAAAGTATCTACTGCTGGATCTCATCTCACAATTGTTGTTATATTTTACCAACAACAAACAACAAATGTGATGTCTCTATCTAACGACTCAATTGTCTTTTGAATCTATAATTTGTTCTCAGGTAAAGAGTTTTGACTGAGCACAAAGATATTTTTGTATATTATATATTTATACGTAAACTGTCAAGTAAACTAATTCTGCACATTTGACTGCATGCTTGCCTTTATTTTCTATATTGTATAAACTTATTGTATTATTGATTGCCACTATTGATTATTAAAACTGATATTCAGCAAAAGAGATGTTTCATACTTTTCAATAAAAGTGAAAGGAGGCAGTTAAAGGCTCCATTTTGTTAAAAATATGTATACAGTGAAGATATTGTTTAGAAAAATTGTAGAGGGGGTGATGTGACTGACGTTATATGGTGTTCAGTACACTGTTCCCTTTGAAGATTTATCGACGTGTCCTCGGGAGTTTGTTTTCCATATCAAACTTACAAAGTCTTAACTTACAAGGAAAGAATGCAAGAACTTTGTGCACTTAATATAAAAAAAACTCCAATCAAATAGACGAACATCTGAAGCCACGCCTCCGTTTTCAGATGTCTCCGTTTTCCCCCATCCACACTGACACAAAGCAGCAGAATTTTAAAACTAAAAAAGCTTCTTCAGCGTTTCTGAATTGCTCCGTTTTTGGCGCTCGAAAACTCCATAGCGTGGACGGAAGGCTCAACTGTAGCACAACTCATGCGTTTTAAAACTAAAACACATTAGTGTAAACAGGGTCTCAGTCTCCGCTAATGAGCTGATGATCTGAATCGGGTGTTTTTGGTTAAAAAGACATGGAAAATATGCAGTACTGGTGGCCCTCCAGGAACATGGTTGGGAAACACTGCCTTAATATATTTAATATGCATTCATGATCCAACTATTTTAATCAATCTACTGCAAAACGTTAGCCTCGAGTTAATTAGCTAACAAACTTTATTTAAGTCTACTGCCTTTCTAGAAATGTAACCGTACTTGGCATAATAACATATTATCAGTTACAGCTGTAACTTTAACAATGTTAAAAAACAAAAACAGAAATTTTGCCACCATGTCAAACATCTATTTCAGTTGCTCAATTTTTACAACCAAGTCCCATCCCACAAGTGAATTATAACTGCCATTTCATGTTGACTTTGAACACTCACTCGCCACCTCACACACATTTCTGCAACACTGTGTAACATTTAGCAGTGGGACGTTCAAAAAACAGATCAATTTGTAAGCCAAATTTATTCAATAGATAGCTTAATTCAAAATATAAAGAACACCCTATAATAAAGTTTGGTATCCAGTCTTATGAGGATCTCATTTAAGATGTTAACTCGGTCCACAGCACTGCTAAATGCATGTATGCACTTACCTTGTTTGTTTAGTCAACTCTATCTTCTCAGCCTATCAATCAAACAGTTATCAATTGTCCCATATAAAGCTCATTTTTTTATATTGAGGTCAACCTAGGTGGTGCTTTGTATTCTGACTAAACGAGCACTAAAGGGTGTTTGAATGCAAAGTTTTGACTAATCATAAGGGTATGACTATTTAGTAAACCCATGTGCCCCCTTAGGTCCCCTAGCAGGTCATTCGATATTTTGTATAGTTGCTTAAAGTTGTGCTTCACTATTTAGTTGTATTGATGTTTTCAGTTGCCACCAGGAGCGTCTCTATCTACACCCGCGCATGTCTCCTCTCTACTCTATGAAGTTTCTTTACAATCTCATCCCTCTCGCTCCAGTCTTCCGCAGCTTAATCCTCCCTTTCTCTCTCTTCTCTCGTCCCTCACACCCGCGCATTCTTTCTTCTCCGCTTCAGGCCAGTTTTACTGCTTTGATTTTAACTTCATGACAGACGGTTTGTCTTTGTTGTTCTTGGGGGCACATGAGGAACTGTGCTAATCACTGACTGTCAGCTAGATTGATGAAGAGCGGCTTTATCATTGGCGAGCCCACCTGAGCTGATTTACGCCGCCAATGATTGAATCTTTTTTATTCCCTTAGTTGATTTCATTGTGCTTTGTTAAAGAGTAATTAACTGCAGGCCCTGGAGTGCCAGGTTGTCGTGAATCTAATGTGGTTTTTAGCAGCTGGCTTGCTTTGTCGGGCCGATACTTTATCGGTTTTAGTTTTGTGCCCCCTTGAGAGTCTCTGGCAGTTTGCAACAAATCTTCAACAAGTGCTTGTGTTCTTAATTAAAGGTTATTTGGGGACAAATCTCCAGGCTGGAATTACAGTTGAGCAGGAACTAAAGCAATTTATCTTGATGAATGGAAACTGAGTGTGAAGTAATATTCAAATGTGAAGGATTGTGTTCACTTGGGACTAAATGTTTTTAAAATGAATTTACAGCCCTGAACTGAAGTGTTTAGGGATTAGGGGAGCATTACTTTGTTACTTTAAAGACGTCCTCTTTAAGATATATTGGATAGACTCTTCATGACTTTAAGAAATGTTGTTAAAGGACCTATTTAAATTTTCAATCGGGCTGAGGCTGATGGATGGTGCATTATCTTTTGGCCAAACGGACCGGGGGTGACTGTGTGCCAAATGCCGACACAGCGCTGCCAGCTGAGGCGGGGATTAAGGACTTAACATCTTTTTTCGCTGTGCCTCTATTAGTTAACAGTCTGTGATTATCAAACAGGCAGGAGAGAGGGGCATTTAGCGCTAGGATGTCTCAGGGAGGTCGTAAATGGATCTCTTTCAGGTGTTTATGATGTGGCCTTGTGAAGGGAAGGAGCTGCTGACATGGTAGTAGTAGGAGAGGCGTAATTACATCTTGCATGAACTTTCTGCAGACAGGACGGATCTCTTTGCTCAGGGTGGCACTGAACATCATGACCTGCTTCTCATGAGGGGTCATTCGAAAGATTTCTTGGACATCCCGACGCATGTCTGCAGAGGATATAAAAAAAGACAAATGTGTTTTTTTCACATATTTTTATCATCATTTACAGAAGAGACACATTTAAATGATAACTATATATATATATATATATATATATATATATATGTGTGTGTGTGTGTGTGTATGTGTGTGTGTGTATGTATGTATATATATATATATATATATATATATATATATATATATACATATATATACATATACATATATATATATATATATATATATATATATATATATATATATATATGAGGGGGGTTTCATAACCCTTTAACTTGGCTGCCAAACCATTTTTACTAAAAGGGATAGTTCACCCAAATATTTTTCATCTTTTACTCGCTCTTTACTAGTTTAAAACCTTTATAATTTACATTTTTTACTGGTGAAAACAAAGAATGACATTTTGATAATTGTTGGAAATCTGTAACCATGACTTCCATAGTATTTGTTCTTCCAACTACAGAAGTCAGTGGTTGCAGGTTTTGCTTTTTTCAAAATATATTCAGAAGAAAAAATATATATATATAGATATATTTTTTAATTTTGAGTATTTTAATTTGTGAGTGAACTATGCTTTTAAAATCTGATTAACAAGTTAACCATTTCCATTTATAAAACCAAATAAAGGCACTACTATTGGACTACATCATGGACCAATGAGTACATTTCTTTCTTTTGGAGAAATGTATAAGTTATATTTTAGGTACTTTACAGAATTCATAATATCCTTACATTTTATACTGAATACAGCCATAGTCTTATAAAGATTCTGCTCACCAAGTTGCTCCAGCATCTTATCACATTCATCCAGAATGAAGTGTTTGATGTGGCGCAGGTTGAGACTCTTGTTGCGGGACAGAGCTAGAATCCGTCCAGGAGTTCCCACCACCACATGAGGACTCTCCTTCTTCAGCACCTCCTCGTCCTTCTTTATGGACAAACCACCAAAGAATACTGCCACCTGGGGGAAAGAAACAGAGTGAGAAGTGTGAGAAGACAAACAGGAAAAGTTTATGTTGAAAAAAGTCTTTGATTAAACTCTTGAATTTGCAGTACCACAAAAAAAAAAAAAAAAAAAAACAACAACAATTAAACACTAAATAAGTGTAACTACAAGAGTAAATTTCATAAATCATTTTGGTTACCAGTATAGATTTTAGATGTTCATAATCTACTCTATTGATATTAATGACATTAATCACTCTTAAACTGTATTTAAAATGTGCTTTCATTATATTTAATAAAATATTTTTCATTAACAGAACATGGAAAAAGCCAAACATGAATATAGATTAAACAAATGTATACTTTGTTTAAACTTTACAAATCATTCTAATTTGTTGACTTTCATCAAGAAAACTGTATGATTATTAACCATGTTTCAAACTGCAATACATATTTGTCAGAATTCTCTGATGACAAAAAACTCAACAGAGCATAATTTATAAAGTATACAAATAAACGTTATACTGTAGCTTTTGATTCAATATATCCTTGCTGAATAAAAAAAAGCACTGAATAAAAACATATCACTGTGCCCAAATCTTTAAACAGTAGCGTAATTATGTTTACTTCCAAATATTGTGTTGGAATAATGAAATTCTCTGTGGAGTAAACCAAATTATTTTACTTTATATTCCATCAAATCTCCTGTAAAGTAAAAATTGGGACAGATTTTTTTTGTATACATTTCCTATTTATCTTTTATTTAATCGTTCTGAAAAGTAGTCATTCTGAAGTATTGAAGTTTTTCTAACTTATTTACATTATGCAAATAAAGCAATACATTAAAAAACTATACAAGCAAACCTAACAAAGTATGCACATATAAACTAATAAGTACATATAAAACATACCAACTTCTAAGAAAAAAATATTTTCTAGAGCAAACAAGGGAGCAGATTAACTTTACTAAATTGTAAAGTAGGGATGTCAAAGTTAATTGCTAGAGGGCCGCAGCCCTGCAGAGATAAGTTCCAACCCTGCTTCAATTCACCTATCTGTAGGTATCAAACAAGCCTAAAGCACTTAATTAGTTTGATCAGGTGTGTTTAATTAGGGTTGGAACTAAACACCTGTGTTGTAAAGTAACACACAATACATTTTAGTAACAGACAATTATTATAAATAAATAAATTAAATAAATAAATAAATAAATAATGTAAAAAACAAAAACGTTTTTTAAAATGAAATCTTACCTTGACACTGGGCATGTATTTAGAGAAGCGCTCGTACTCTTTACTGATCTGGAATGCCAGCTCTCGTGTGTGACACATCACCAGCACTGACACCTGCGTAAGAGCAGTCCCAAATTTCGAAATGGCACATGAAGCAAATCCAGAAAATTACATTACAGTATGTAGTTTTTAAGTAATGATAACATAAAAATTATGTAAAACTATTAGCATTGTGTTTTCAGAGCTTTTAAAAGAGAGCTGTTACCTGACCAGTCACAGGCTCCAGCTGCTGAAGGGTGGCCAACACAAAGACAGCTGTCTTCCCCATTCCAGACTTGGCCTGACATAAAACATCCATTCCCAAGATGGCCTGAGGAATGCATTCATGCTGAACTGAAAAAAAAAAATATATATATATATATTAATATTAAACTATATATAATATTAATATTAATTTTAATGGCAAACTCCCAGTTTCCACCTGGTATTAATATGCACTGATCTGAGATGCATTACCAATTCCACTTGATATTTATTCATATTAAGATGCTATTGATATGGATAGATTAATATAAACTTTATAATATAATATAATATAATATAATATAATATAATATAATATAATATAATATATTTCCCAGTGTTGGATTGCGGCTGGAAGTGCATCCACTGCGTAAAACATACGCTGGATATGTTGGCGGTTTATTCCACTTTGTGTCTTGATCAATAAGAGTCTCTTTAAGTCTCTGAAATTACCATGACAGTTCATTATTTCAGAATGGTTGAGGTATTTTATAGGCAAGTACATCTGGAAAAATTATTATAAACTACTTTAAATCAAATTTAAACTCAACTTTTAGAGAGGGGGGAATACAAATGTGAGGGAAAAAAAGGGTTTTATGTTTGTCTGTTAAGTATAAATGACAGTTAGACACGAAAAAATACAAAAATCTAATATAAAATGACACTTGACAGACTTAACTATAAACATTATACTTAATTAATCTTTATATATGAAATAATATAATAGAATAACAAATAATAGCCTGTATGCTTTAAACTCACTTGATAAGGAAAAAAAACTTAAATCCAAAATGATTAAACTTTGTCATTAATCTACAAGCTCCTGTTCAATAATAACCCATATTTGACATTACAGATCCTGTGATGAGACTTTTGCAGATGGGCACATTGCGATATTGATGCTGAAATGATATATTGTACAGCCTTACAATAAATACACACAGATTCAGAGTGAGAAGTAAAGAAAGTAAAGGTATAGCTGATGATGGCCCATAACATTTTGGCCATAATCTTTATGTTTGTATACAATGCAGTGAAGAAGGAATACCTTATTTTTAGTGTGCTTTATCACAACACATCCCATAATAATCACGATAGGTCAGTAGTTAGAAACAAGGTGGTCTTCTGTGGCTGACAGAACACATTTGACCAAATCAACATTTATACTATGACATCAGTCTGATTAAATGCATTTTCAACAACCTCTGGAAATGGTCGAAAATAAACAAACTCAAAATGTTTAAAGTCTGTGTAAAATTAAATCTACTGTTTATTTTGCAAGCTCACATTGTTAATCTTTAAGTGAACAATTAATCTGTGCAAGTTAATCTACTGAAAAAAAAATAGTTTTAGTGATTTTTAATCAAAATCTGACCATTTGCTTCCACATTTGGAGTGAGAGTCCTTGTGTTGATGTCAGCTTGACGGCTTCATCCATAATACCTTCTCACCATTAGTTTGCTATTAGGGAATGATGCGCAAGAAAGAAAGTCCCACCCCCTACTCAATATTCAGTTTTAATTAGAAGTACATCAACAAACTGAAATAAAAGTCTCAGCAACTTCCAGTTCATACATCTGGTTAAAGGTATTTCAAGACTATATACTGTATGAGCAGATGTAGAAGATCTCACCCTCAGATGGATGTTCAAATCCGCAGTCCACTATCGCTCTTAGGAGTTCTGGTTTGAGAAGGAAATCTCTGAACCCTGAGGAGTGGATGGACACATATGACCCTTTGACGCCTTCTTTCCTGATGGATATGATGCCATCGCTGTGTCCAAGGCCTGCGTCCCCTGCACCACCAGCATCTACCTCATCCTCCTCATAGTCCAACAGCTCGTTATCAACATCGTTCTCTGTCATTCTATGGAGAGAATACATACAATAAATTTAAAACTAATCCAAGTGACAGCACTTCTTTCAGTCAAACATTATTTTATCTTATCTCCTACAATATTAGGTGTGTGTGTGTGTGTGTATATATATATATATATATATATATATATATATATATATATATATATATATATATACATATATATATATATATACATATATATATATATGTATACACACGCACACGCACACACACATAAATATATATATATATATATATATATATATATATATATATATATATATATATATATATATATATACACATGGTGTAATGCTGAAAGTTTTTTTTTTTTTTTTGCGTATCAACATAAGAATTGTATTTTTTTCATTCATTAATCTAGGGCTGGGCGATTAATCGTATAGTAATTGAAATCGACATTCCGAACCTATTATGGATCTAATTTTTTCCAGGACACTTTTTTCAATTAACTGCATGTGGAGTCACGTGACTACTCTTTGTTAAAGCTGATTTATACTTCTGCTTTAAACATACTTTTAAATCGATAAGGTCTGACACAGCCTCTGAATGGTTGCATACCCACAAGCCTTTTGAAAAATGTAACTACACATCGCAAGTTTGCATTACATTGACGATGATTGGAAGCTCCGCCAGAGATGTCTTGACATTTCTATTACAAGAAAATATTATTTACATTAAAATATTTGTTTACAAAAGATTCAAGAAATGCACTACTTAAAAAATTATTTACAGGATATACAAGTTTTTTTTATCTAGAAGAGATACTGCTTATTTTCTACTTTTAATATGATAAAGCACTGAAAATAAATTGTTTTGTTTTCAAAAATGCAAGTTATTTAGTTTCACTTTTTTATAAGTAAAAATACTGTTGTATTACTGTTGTAAGTGTATTTCCTTCAATTATTTAAAAAAAGTAATGCACCCTTCATTCAAAAATCTCTCACTTGTAATATGGAACATATTATCTGTGTAAAACTTGTCAGTGAATTGTGAGGGTAAAAAATAAATAAAATAATTGTTCATTACTCGTAATAGACTTAAAATGTTTTATTAATCGAGATTTAGATTTTAGGCCAAATCACCCAGCTCTAGCAATGAGGCAAACATGCTATCTCGATAATTATTTTCCATATTGAACGATAACGATATATATTTTGATATCAGTTGTCAATATGCCAGATTTAAAAGAGTATTCCAAAAATGACTAAAGCCAGAAAAAATAAGAGGGTCCATTGAATGGCGTGAAGTAATTTCGACTGATACATTTTCGGTGGCCGAAGATTCGGTACATTTCTAATATCAACTACGTATGAGCTGGTATAAGATTCTGACGGTATGATAACCTTGGATAAAAATATCCCACTTTCACAACATTGTGATTACTGCTCTAAAATATATTATTTTTAAATATCTGAGTTTATTTCCCATCTGAAAACAATACATTTTATTTTGTAAAACAAAGTATTTTGGAGCAGTAAACATGTCTGGCTAAATAATTCAAATGAATCATTGACTTCTGATGTCTTTATTAGTTTCAAAACACAGATTTCTTTACAATTTATAGCGGCATCTTTGGATATCTTTTCTGCTGGAGATACTGTTGTCCTAAAAAAAAAAAATGTAAATAAAAAATCTCACACATACCTTCGGAACAGTAAAGCAGAACAATTTGGTCGAAATTAATTAAAACCAGTCAAACTATGGTATACCTTGAAAACTGCTATTGTCCCATGCTTAATATCAACGCACGTTTATATTCCCATTGTTTGCACATTTCTGCTGTGTAATATAGATTTAGAGTATATAGATACACAATACAGAGTAAAAAGGTCCAGAGCTTATCATTGTTGTGACATAAATTGTATCGCAATTCGATACAATATCGTTTATCGGCCCAGCTCTACATTAGTCCTATTTAATTGTTATTTTTTTCTGAGAAAAAAAATATGAAATATCATTAAATTTGTTTTACCATGATAAAAAGACACACACTACAATATCATTCAGTGAAACCACAGTCAGAACAAATTTCTCCTTTTGCCAGAAGTTTTTTTTTTTTAAACAAATAAATAAACAAACAAAATTAATTGATTACGGAACACAATATTTTGACATACACGTGATTTAGAAAAGCGTGTTTGCTTAAATTGTATTCGATTATATTTGTTTGTGTAATATATACACAAAAGCTAGAGACTTGTAGCTTTTCAACAACTATTAATCAAGACAATATATTAAAGAATAAAACCCCATTCTCCAGCACTACAATAGCAAAAAAAAACTTAATTCATAGATAATGTTTTATGCTAGCCCACACACCCGTAATTAATCAGTTATGTCGCTTTAAACTAACAAACGATTTAAGACGTAACACATTAGCACTTAGTTAGCTAATCCATTAGCCCAAAATAGGCAGCGTGTGGTCAAAACACTACGACATTACATTGCTGAATGTTTTATGACGGAATATAAAGTGTATTATCACTTCTCATGTCGATTGTGGTTTTTAATAGTATTAAATAATCGCAAATACCTCGAAACACTGTTTGAAGCAGTTGGATTTGACTGCACCTGCCAGATAGATTGTCTACAACGTCATCAACTCGCGACGAATCTACTGTTTTGACGAAGGACCCCAACATGTGGAACTGCCTTGAGTAAAAACCTCTCAGTTTGTAGAGAAGTTTGTATTTGGTTTGTATTTGTTACTATAACTAGCGTACATATCGCAAGATTTTTGCATCTGGTAATATTTAAGACCGCCGTGTTGGCGCTTTTATAAGTAAGTTTCTAGTTTTGATTAACGTTATATAAAAAATGTATGTACGTATGTGTGCGTGTGTAGTTTTTATAGATTATTAATTTATTACAGGAAACTTTACAATACAATATATAATACTGCAATACTATAGTAGTCTCCAATTTATTTTTTAATAAAAAAAACGATTTAAATCACTAGTTTTGGTCAAAAACCAATAAACTATGGGTAGTGTAGCAAAACATGGTGAGTTTGTAGTTCTTACGTGATTTACTAAAATTACCATGTTTTTATATTATTTGTGTTATTGTACTATGGTTAATTTTTGTTATTGGTGACTAAAGTCTAGTTACTAACATTTTTTTCTCTCCTTTAAGAAATGTCGTGTTTTAGAGGAGATGTCGACTTTTGTCCTGAATGTGGAAACATTCTTCCACTACCCAGCAGGCTGAATACTATCACCTGCCCACGATGCTCCTTCAAAATCTCTGTTCAAGGTGAGAGTAAGATTAATATGTCATAAGTAATTTATATAATATTTTATGAGATTATATATTGGCCCTGTTTCAGAAAGGAAGTTAAGTAATAGCTCAGAGTATGTTTAACCCTGAAATGAGAGAAATTTTGGGTTTTCCGTTTTAAAATGGCAGGTTTGTCAAACTCGAGAAAGCAGGGTAAGTCAAGCCTGTTTCTGAAAGAGAGGTAACTTTGACTTGGTTGTTGCTAGATCGAATATGTTTACGGCTGGAAGGTGAAGAGAATTATTTATATTATTTATTAAATCCCCCGTTTATTGTATTTTATTAACATCTACCCTCACCCCAACCCTAAACTCAACCAACAAAGTAATGTAGAAACAGTAGTTGTACTGGGTATAATTTACGTTACCTATTAAATTATACAATAAATTGTATTTTTTAACGCCTTCCCCCAGCCCAACCCTAAACCCCACCGTCACAGTATTGTACAAATATTCATTATTGTTATACAGTGTCATAACAAAATGCTGCTATATTGATGTGCAGATCGCACTTTCGGCCAGCCGTGTATCCGATCTAGACTTTACCCTTTAACTCAGAGTCAGTTACCGTGGTAACTTACTCTATGAACCTAACCTGGTCAGGAGCCGGTTTTATTCTCTAAACTCTGAGTTTCTGTTGGTCTCCTCCCCTTTTTTAAAGACAGAGTGTATTTCTCACCTTGGCCTTGGTCATTCATTGCCTACATTTCAGTCACACAAAGAACATGGTTATGAGAATGGCTTGTACTTTTTGGGAACATTACAATTAGATTCAATACCATAGTTTTAAGTTTTAGCTTTGATATTACTGCAAAAAATAAATAATTATTAGAATAATATAATTATTATTTTAAATTATTATAATAATAATTATTATTTTAAAATAAAATAATTATTTAGAACGATTATTACTAGTTTTAAAAACTATTTTTAGTACTGCTAAAGTCTAAATGTTACTTACATTCTAAATGTTATATCAACCTCTACCACTTGATCAATAATAAAGGCAGACACACAAGTGCACTTTCAAATCTTAAACTGATCAACGTGTGTAAAAGTGGGAACCTTAAATTAAACATTTCCACTGAACATTAAGCTAAGGTTATATGCATTTTTTGTCAGATTTGTTGTAGAAACTATGCAGCAGCCTATTTTATGTAATTTAATGCAATTACATTTGAAATGACTTCAAAATTGGTGACGCGGTGGCGCAGTGGGTAGCACGTTCGCCTCACAGCAAGAAGGTCACTGGTTTGAGCCTAGGCGGGGTCAGTTGGCATTACTGTGTGGAGTTTTCATGTTCTTCCTGTGTTGTGTGGGTTTCCTCCAGGTTCTTCGGTTTCCCCCGCAGTCCAAAGACATCACATGCGCTATAGGTGAATTGCGTATGCTAAATTGTCTGTAGTGTATGTGTGTGAACGAGTGTGTGTGGATGTTTTCCAGTGATGGTTCAGGCTGGAAGGGCATCTGCTGCGTAAAAAACTGCTGGATAAGTTGGTGGTTCATTCATCTGTGGTGACCGCAGTTTAAAAAAAACCAAGCTGAATAGAAATTGGGCGAGGCAGTGCTGTCGCCTCACAGCAAGAAGGTCGCTGGTTCGAACCTCGGCTCAGTTGGTGTTTCTGTGTGGAGTTTGCATGTTCTCCCTGCCTTCGCGTGGGTTTCCTCCGGGTGCTCCGGTTTCCCCCACAGTCCAAAGACATGTTGTACAGGTGAATTGGGTAGGCTAAATTGTCTGTAGTTTATGAGTGTGTGTGTGAATGTGTGTGTGGATGTTTCCCAGAGATCGGTTGTGGCTGGAAGGGCATCCGCTGCGTAAAAACTTGCTGGATAAGTTGATGGTTCATTCCGCTGTGGCGACCCCGGATTAATAAAGGGACTAAGCTGACAAGAAAATAAATTAATGAATGAAAAGAAATTGAACGACTTCAATGACTTCAAAATTATGGCCAATTCCCCACTTTTTCAAGGTAAAAGTGTATAAACATCACGCATTACTTGTTCTTTTATTACACTTAAATATTTAAATACTTTAAATGTTTTAGATTTAAGCATACACATTAACTTGTGCAGCTATCTTTTTTTCACGCTAACTGTCTCTGTTTCACTAATGCAGTTGTGTTGCTTTTTTTTAATATAAGATCGTATTTGCTATAACTGCATAAGCATCAAGTTCAGCTGGAGAAAAAAAATGCTCTCTTTTTTTCAGATGTTGCTAAGGGGACTTGTAATATCTGCGCTCCATTAATAATACCTTTTTATAGTTGTGTGGTGTGCACGCATAAAGCTGCAGTCACGCTGGACTTCTCTCCCCATAGACTTTTTTCGGAAACGTAAGGTCGTGTGTCACTGCGTTGGAAAGTTCAAGCTTGGTGAACTCTGTCCTGCTAAATCGCATCACATGATTGTGAGAGACCAATCGAAGAGCAAAACGTGAACTCTGTACAGGAATTTAAAACATGGAGCAGTCACTCGCTTTTTTAATATCCAATCATCTTGTTTAATTTCGGCCTTTTGTGCAGCCCTGTACAACAGAATTTCGCAAGCTCAAACTCTAGTGTGACTACAGCATTAACTCTGAATCAGTCCACTCAAGACTTGGTTGACCTAACTCAGATCAGCTGTTCTGAAACTAAAAACTCTTGAGTTTTTAATCTCTTGGTAAGTCAACTCAGAGTTCAAGTTTAAAGTTCGAGTTGGTTGAACCTCCTTACTGAAACGGGTCCATTATGTCAATGATGAAGGTGCTTTTTCTTTGCAGGTTTATGTTATGCCCACACGGAATCTGCTTGCGCAGAATTCCGCAGATTTTCCACAGAATTCCGCAGATTTCTGCAGATTATTAGCCCATCATAATTCTGTTTATTTACTTGAGTAAATGTGTAAATCTAAATTTATTCAGTTTTTATTGAGTAATTACTTACTTTTTATTTAATATATTAAGGTTTTAGCTATGATACTCTGCTGGATACTCCCAAAATAATTCCGCAGAAATCCGCAGATTTTTACCAAAATTCTCAGCAGAAATAGCAAAAAACGTCCGCAGATTCCGTCTGGCCCTGGTTATAACCCAGTAGTATGATTCTCTTTCAGACTTCACAAGTCAAGTGATCAAGTCATCGGTGATGTTTAATCCTTTGGATCAGAGCAATGTCGCTGTTGAAAGTGCAGAGGATGCTGAATTGAAGGGGCCAGTGGTATGTTACAAAAAAAGAGTAATTGAGTCTGAAATATCATTAATTCTCTTTGTAAACTTTTTCACTTTTTTCTCACCTTCTGAAAACTTTTCCTTAGATTGACAGGAAATGTTCTCGCTGTAATAAAGAGGGAATGGTTTATCATACAAGACAGATGAGATCTGCAGATGAAGGGCAAACTGTTTTCTTCACATGTATTCACTGCAGGTAATTAACACAGCATGCTCATAAACCCTTGGTGCTCCTTTGAAATTTTAGAGAGTGACAAATTATATATATATATATATATATATATATATATATATATATATATATATATATATATATATATATATATAATTTTTATTGTACTTTAAACTTTATTGGTATAAATAAAAACTTACATTAAGCCTCTTTTTGCACTTGCTATGTAAACAAAGACTTTAAAATCTTGGATATGGTTTGTAAAATTTAACCTTTCTGGAGAACTACAGACACACTTGTGTTGTTCACGATCAAAAATAAATGCATTGCAAACTAAATTCATCAAGCGGAAACGTTTGGTACAGCACCCAAACTAAACGTTATTTGTTAAAGCTAGTTTTTGAGATGTCAGTGTCATTTGAAAGTCAACCAGTTTATATAGTTGGTCTTGATTTTTCTCACAATTTTAGAGTAAGTACATTTACATTTAAAAACAATACGTTTTCTACATATACTATTATTTACTATCTATCTGTAATTCAACCAATTAGCACTAATACAAGTACAATTTATTTATATAGCATATTTCGCACACAATGGTAATTCAAAGTGCTTTACATAAGCAAGAATAAAAGACATAAAATAAAATCTTTAAAAGATTTAAAAATGATTAAAAGCTGATTCAAATGTGTTTAAAACAGGTTATTAAAGAATGAAAATGAAAACGAAAGCCGTAATGGTTTGATCTGTCGGACATAGCACAGTGCTCATTCAGTAAAGGCACAGCTAAACTGTTTTCAGTCTTGATTTGAATGTGCCTAATGTTGGAGCACATCTGACCGTTTCTGGAAGCGGATTTCAGCTGTGGAGGGTTAATAGCCGAAGGCCGATTCACCCCGCTTTGACTGAACACTTGGGATTTCTTATTTACTTGGTTCTAATGATCTGAATGATCTGTTAGGTTTGTATTCAGTTAGGTCTTAGGCTACTTTTAAATCGATTATGAATGTAACTGGGAGCTAGTGCAAAGACCTGAGGACAGATGTGCTCTGATTTTCTGGTTTTGAATAAGCTGCAACTGTCTGACTGTCTTTTTTGGGTATTATATAGTATTAATATTTTACTTTTTTTTGTTATAGGTTCCAAGAAAAGGAAGACTCATGAGAAATGTGTTGCTGCTGCTGTCTTATATTGATTGCTAGAATTTAATTGTATAAAATAATGTAAAGGTTTTGTTTGTATTCATACTATTCAGTGTTAATAAAAATTATCAAAAGAATGTTTGTCTTTTATATCTAATATGTAATTTTCTTTATATATAGTATAAGGAATGCATAATAAACACTATTTATAATTTTAAAAATAAAAGTTTGTAAAAGAAATACGGTTTTCCGAAAAGTCCCTTCCCACACGCGTGAGCCAATCAGCCTTTATGTTTCAGCGATCACGTGATCGTACAACATGGCTTCACACTGTCCGAGCTGAATGGCTAGATGACTGTTCATGAAGAAGTACAATGATGTGTATCACTTTATGCACTATTTAGTGCTTCCTAGCGCCTGTGAAACAAGGTAAGCAAATTGACTGTATAATAAATCTAAGTTTAAAGCGAGAATGACTACGATATATGATACATACATTTTCTAGGCATGAACTCAAGGCAGCAAGAATTTAAAGCATCTATTGTTCCTTAAATGCTCATTTCAATATATTGTTGTTGTTACCTTTGATATCAGTGTGTTTACGTTAGTGTAACCAACAAAGTAGATGCACTATAACATCTCAGTCAAAGATAGTGAACAATATGACTCCGTTTGACAGATAATGTTTTCTGATAGAGCCTAATGCAGGTCATTTTGATTTTTGTCTTTACATTTGCCCGTTTTTACCGTTTACAGATGAAGCTTCGCGTTCAGCTTCAGTGTAAGAACTTGCACGAGTATCTGAAAGAACTGACCCCAGAAATCCTCGACAGGCTCTACAATCACCCAGCAACATGTCTAGCAGTATACAGGTCCTTCTGTTATACACGCATTCATATTTACGTGTACACTCATAATGTTTTGCCTCTTGTTTAAACTGCTTATTTAAAATAAGCTGAGACAACTCGTTTCTTTAGATTTCTTTGGGAGAACCTAATTATATTAAGTTAATGTATACTCAAATTTGTTAAGCCAACTTAATTGATGTACGTTGTGACAACACGAATGAATTGTGTGGAACTTTATTTTGATCTGATTAGATCACATACTGTTCAAGCAAGTGGAGTTTATTTGGAAATAAAAAGCACAAATATTTTAGTAAACAGCAGTTCTTGCTTTGCTGTAAAAAGGACTTTTAAAAATGATACTTTCAATGAAATTTTTGTTAGTTTTTTTTTTATTTTACATCACAATAGTTTATAAATTAATATTTTAAAATTATATTTTCTAGGGGATGTAATGGTGCAAAATTATATTTATGTAGTATTTATAATCCATTTGATGATGATCTATTAACCTCTTTCCAATTAAAATTGTCGTAAATCATAAGTTTAGTCTTTCTTAAACGGCATTTACTATATTATTACTAAATCAAAAAAAGTTGAAAGAAAAGAAAGGACTTATATTATTATATAATGGAAGTATAAAACAATTTTATGAGGAACGTGCTAAAAACTATTTTAAATTCTACTATATAAAATACGTATTTTTAAAACACGTTTTACTCTTAAAAAGCAAGAAACTCAAATTCATAAATCTGAAACTGTTATTTTGCAAATTGAAGTTTTAAATAGTTTTTATTTTATTATTATTATTATTTGTGTGTGTGTGTGTGTGTGTGTGTGTGTGTGTGTGTGAGATCTTTTTTGGGTGGCGTAATAAACATTTCTACTAGTTTCCATTATTTTAGTATTGTCGTTATTGACCAACAATAATTTATATGTTTTGCAGAACTTCTGTATCATTTTGATAAAAAAGTCAAACTACTCTAATATCAGGCCTGTAGCCAGCCTAGTGAAAGGGGTGGTTCTTTTGTTCTAAAAAAATAGACCTTTTAGCAGTTATTTGACTCGTTTTTTTTTCTTTAATTATGAAGTTTCAATACTGCATTTTAGTGAGATTTTAAGCAGATTTTACACACTTTTACACACTTTTTGATGTGCCAAAATCATTTACTAAAGATTTAGAATAAAGAAATATGAAGAAGCTATTTATTTTAGGCTACTTTATGATATATAACTTGGGGAGAAAATAGGAGTCTGTTTAAAATTTTACATTTAAACTGTAGCCTATTGGCATTTATTAGACAAATATTCAACTAAATTTAGCCAGCACATTCAACTGTCCCCAGTCTCAGAATTTGGCCATTTGAATAACAAAAAATAAATGAACATAATAATAATGTAGGGCTTCACGATTTTTCTAGCTTCTCTTGTAAAAAAAAAAAAAAAAAAAGTATAATTGAAAATTCAAAGATAACAACAATAGCCTAATAAGTATTAATATGGGCCGCTTTTGGTGCTTCGCAACTTTTTATTGCTCAGTGTTTCTTTCAAGAATTAGGTCCAAGATTTAGAATAAAAGTTAATTATTAAATGTTTTCTACAACAATACAGGGAAAGCTGACTTAACGTGCATCAGATTTTGCTTGGTCTTAAAGCCTTTTTTCAATAGGTTATTTTGATAACTTGATGGACAAATTAGCTCATGTATGGGACAAATACCGGACCTTTGTCAGTTATGAAAACTTTCATATCTTGTATCTTTTATTTAAAGTTTATCTAATTTATTGACATTAATAACTTTATATATTGCTTAATTGTCCAAATACATTTTGAGACAATTTTACTATACACATATAAAATTTGAGATTGTTCTATGCTGATTTGTTCACTCTCGTTGGTTCTGATGCAGGGAACTTCCACCACTGGCAAAGAATTACGTGATGCGCATGCTGTTTTTAGACCATCCACTCCCCCAGGCTGCGGTAGCCCTGTGGGTTAAAAAAGACAGTCAAAAGTAAGTACACTATGGACCCTTTTCATAAGACTGTTATGACACGTATAACTGTCATGTCATCATAATCTTAAACTCTTGAAAGTTTTTAATATTTAGATTTTTTTTAAATGTATGATCATTTATATGCATTTATAAATTTGTTTTATCATCTTTGCGTCAAATTACATTAAGGAATTACCGCTTATGTGAGGTGTTTCTAATTCAGCGTCTATAGGAGTAAATCTGACATTATTTCCTCTTTTGGCTGTCGTTGTTAGTCTTACTCTATTTTCTGCTTTTTTCTGAAAGTCTTGATAACACCATCGAGGAGTTTTTCTTGTATTATTTCAGCAAATATGGTTGTAAAAAATATTTCTTGTGCTCTCCTATTCACTGCACTCTAAGTTTACCCAACTATGATGACTTTCGCTACTCAGAAACCCGGAAATGTGAAAAGGGTCCATTAGTGCCATCACTCTAAAACAAATCTTCATATTACAATGATTTCTAAATCATGTGACACTGATGACTGGAGTAATGCTGCTGAAAAATCCGGATTATAAGAAGTAAATTGAAAATTAAAAGCTGTTTTTTATAAATATAAAATATATTTATAGAAAATTATTGTCTTGTTTAAAGGAACAAATACAGACTTTTTACTTAGTTTACTTAGTCCAACACTGTTTGTTTTATATATATATATATATATATATATATATATATATATATATATATATATATATATATATATATATATATATATATATATATTATGCCTGTCTCTGCTTTTTCTTGTTTTTTGAAGAGACCATGATCAATGTGTGTCGGTGTTAACTGGGCTACGGCTCTGGCACAGTCAGCATCTTCAAGGTGGACTTCAAGGTTTCGTGCTCAACCCCGTGTTTAAGGACAACCTGAGAATAGCACTTTTAGGCGGGTGAGGAGCACAGTTTATATTCCAATCCATGCTAGCACTGCAGCAGCATATTCACTAATTTATGGGTCACTTGCCAGTGGTAAACCGTGGGCAGACGAGGGTGCCAATCTGGGTCCCGATCGGCATGCGAGGGATGTAGAGAGTCTGGACCGCTATGCTATGGAGCGCTGGGAGGTCATCCTTCACTTCATGGTGGGCTCTCCTAGCGCAGCTGTCAGTCAGGATCTGGCTCAGCTCCTCATACAGGCCGGGCTCATGAAGAGGTAAAGCATTACGTCACTCTACTGATGTGCCAGGCAAAGTTCAGGGCTTCTGTAGGGGATCTACAATTGTAAAATCTAAAATTTAAACCTTAAAATATATAAATTGAATTATGTTTTGTATTCTAGATTTTGTTTTTGAGTGAAAAAAATTGGTCTTGATTCTCCTTTTAATACTTCCTCAAAAATAATTCAAACATGCTTCCTCAGCACTTTACTGTCTTTTTAATTTTTAATTTGAATTATTTTATTTGATTATTTTAATGTTGGTTATAGCAAAAAATAGCTTTTGGTCAGTTTCCCATTTGCATTTTACCATTTTACACTGTGTAAATATGACGTGTAGTCATTTTTGACTGCAAAAAACACAAATATGACACAAATATATATATATTTTTAGGACTAGTTCTAGGTCTTAAATAATTTAAAATAGATCTTAATTTTCACATGTCCTTGTAATGCTCCCTCCTAAATTGAACCAAATATGCTCCCATGGTGCTTAAAAATATGGGTTTTTGTTGGTTTGTGCTGTTTGGATTCTATGGTGTTGTAATTTGGGCAGTTTTTTTATGTAGTAAATCTCCATTATTTAATATAACAATATAGGGTATTACTGGCCAACACTCTGGCATATAAAATGTGCACTCTGTATGTACAGCTCTGGTGTTGATTTAAGTATGATATATTTGAAATGACATTTTAATATACACTCAACAGCCACTTTTTTATTAGGTACACCTGTCCAATAGCTCGCTGATGCAAATTTCATATTAGTTAATCACACGGCAGCAACTCAATGTATTTAGGCATGTAGACCTGGTCAAGATGATGACCTAATGGCTGCAGTTCAAACCGAGCATCAAAATGAGAAAGAAAGGTGATTTAAGTGACTTTGAACATGGCATGGTTGTTAGTGCCAGACGGGCTGGTCTCAGTATTTCAGAAACTGCTGGTCTACTGGGATTTTTAAGCATGACCATCTTTAGGGTTTACAGAGAATGGTCCAAAAAAGAGAAAATATTCAGTGAGCGGAAGTTCTGTGGGAGCAAATGCCTTGTTGATGTCAGAGGAGAATGGCCAGACTGGTTTGAGCTGATAGAAAGGCAACAGTAACTGAAATAACCACTCGTTACAAGCGAGGTATGCAGAAGAACATCTCTGAATGCACAACACATCAAACCTTGAGATGGATGGGCTACAGCAGCAGAAAACCACTCTGGATGCCACTCCTTTCAACTAAGAACAAGAAACTGTGGAGTACAATTCGCACAGGCTCACCCAAAAGTAGACAATAGAAGATTTGAAAAATGTCTTTAATGCCTGATCTGATGAGTCTTGATTTCTGCTGTGACATTAGGATGGTGGGGTCAGAATTTGACGTCAACAACATGAAAGCAGGATTGCATCCTGCCTTGTATCGATGGTTCAGGCTGGTGGTGTAATGGTGTCTTGGCACACTTTGGGCCCATTAGTACCAATTGAGCATCATATCAATGCTACAGCCTACATGAGTATTGATCCCTTCATGACCACAGTGTACCCATCATCTTATGGCTACTTTCACCAGGATAACGTGTCATGTCATAAAGCGTGAATCATCTCAGACTGGTTTCTTAAACATGACAATGAGTTCACTGTGCTCAGATGGCCTCCACTGTCACCAGATCTCAATCCAATAGAGCACCTTTGGGATGTGCAGCCGACAAATCTGCAGCAACTGCGTGATGCTGTCATGCTAATATGGACCAATATCTCTGAGAAATATTCTTTAAAATCTTGTTGAATCTATACCACAAAGGATTAAGGCAGTTCCGAAGGCAAAAGGGGATCCAACTCGGTCCTAGTAAGGTATACCTAATAAAGTGGACAGTGAGTGTATATATTAAACATTATTCAGACACTTAGTAACAATGCATATTTAGTAAATGTGATGCACAAGCTGAATTGAGCTTATAATATATATGTTTCTTAATTAATTAAGAAATGTATGATCTATCTGAGTCTAATAAAGTTGATTGCTCCCTGGCCATCGAGAAGGAAGAGGCAGAGAACCTACAAACTTTAAATAACTGTAATAATGTATAAATAAAAAATAAAACAAACAGGTGGTGGCAGCTCCTCATGTCAAACTGAAAGCAAAGCAAAACAAACATAAAGTGTCCATGCCTGGTCCTCTCCTTTCCTGGTACTACTGTCTCTCCTCCATGAGACTTAAGACATGTGGCACACACCGGTGACAGACACTAAGACCAACGCCACTGGCTTTGTTCCGCTCTCACCGATCTTGGCCATGCTCCACTTGCTGCACTTATCTTATGAATTAATTGTTGTTTCAATATAGCCTTTTTATTAAATGAAAATGCAATTTATTGTATTTTGGTTTTAGTTTTTTTAAATAACTAGAATTTAATTGACTTTATTGTGCTTATGTCAGATCTCCTTAACTAGTTTGGAATAAGGATTGGAACTAGGCTTTGTAACTGCCATAACTGGCATTTATGTCTGTTATTTTCGCAATTGTATTTGACAGATTTCACAAAGGCTTTAGCTACTCCTAACTGTCAGCTGGTGCCGGACTCAGTTGTCTTTTTGAGGATGTGCCTCGACTTGATGCTTGTAGGGCAGCTGCACTTTGATGGCTGGATGACAGTGAGATGAGACCTCAGATTTGATCTATTGCATTTGGGTTGTCAATAACACAGCATTGCAACAGGCCCTAGTTTTAGTGTCGTTTTTCACAAGTCCAAATGTAGTTTTGTTTTGTATTATGACAACAAGTGAGACCAACATCATGATTTATCAATGTCAAATCAGCTTTACTCCAACAACTACATAAATGTTTCCAGTAGCTGTTAAGAAATGTTCTTATTCTGTCTAGAAGTTATAACCTCTTCCTCTTCATCATTGTCCGACAGCGAACGTTTGAGGCTTTAATCCGGTACTCTTCATTTCTTATATTTTGGCTGAATTAGATTTGTTTTGTCAGCCTCATCTCATGTGGAAAGTAATTGTTTCATGAGTCGTCAGAAAAGTGGAATACATTCATATAAATACATAAGATTTTAAAAAGAAGGTGTGTCCTTAAACCATCATTGGGGGATGAGGGGTTTGTAAATCATACTAAAATGTATGAATGAGATTGCACAAACTGGCATTGGTTTTGTTGTTTCAGTTGTTTCAGCATGTAAAGGCTCCACCATCTTCTGGAAAGCAGCAGGTCATTTGCATTTACAGATCCACACACAAAAAAACGTTTTTTTTTTTTTTTGCTCTTCCACAAACTGATAAGCTATAATAAATGTTCTGTGCGGGGTTTCCAGCTGAAACTTTACAGACACTTTCTGGTGACAACAGATTTATTTAATCTTTTATGAAAAGGGCATAATTTATCACCTTTAAATTTTATTTAAATAAGTAAAGGTGTGAAAAATTTTACATTTGACTTGCTGAATCCAGAAGAAAAACTTGTATTAAATTGTATTAATTAATTAATTAATTAATTTATTTATTTTTATTCCTCAGCGAGACTGGTGAGGCTCCATGCATCACATCAGCAGGGTTTCAGTTCCTGCTGCTGGACACGGCATCTCAGTTGTGGTACTTCACCCTGCAGTACCTCAAAACAGCACAGGTCAGTGTGTGTGGTGTGATAATCCAGGCTTGCATAATTTGGTTTCATGATTGGACTGACATTTTGATGAGGGTCACAACTGCCTAATGAGGCTTTGATGATGTTATTTTTCAATTACTCTTAATATTCTGTTATTGTTGTTCAAGACAGGGGATTACATTTTTTTTCAGACGCCATGGACCATTAAATATCCTTGTAAGAATTGTTTTCTTATGTAAAGTCTCAACTTATACTGTTAAGAAATAGATATTATTTATTTGTAAAATCTTTTACATAAGTGCATTTTTTACTGATTAAAATACTGTATTTACTTGGATAATTTGTATTTATTTATTTGTATTTTGTTTTTTAATTTCTTTCTTTAAATAAAAATTTGGATATTTATAGAATTATTTGGATAATTATTATTAGAATAATGCGTAAAGCAAAACAAATGAAAACTAACTAAAATGAAAAAATAAAATAAATCAAACCTAGCTCGAGCAAACTAAAATAATATAAAAACAGCAAGATACTGTATGTGTGTGTGTGTGTTTGTGTGTGTATTCATTCATTCATTCATTTTCCTTCGGCTTAGACCCTGTTTACACTAATACAATTTAGTTTTAAAACAGCGTTTTAGAATGAAAAAATCCGGGTCCACACCAGTTTCACCTAGTGTTTCTAAACAGCTATCCGTTCACACTATACCGCTGAAAATGTATCATGTGACCACACACACACTCTGGCATGCACTGCAGCATATGCACGCTTTGGAACCCCAGGCAGTCAGCGGGTGCTTTAAGCATATCTACCCAGTTGAGAGCTGTGCACATTGGACTATTCATCAAGGACCTACTGCTTGATCTAATCTCACTATATGTGTTATGTGATATTTAGTTAATCTTGTTTTCTATATCTAATGACATATTCCCTGACTTTGGTCTTTTAAATGTATTACTTGTTCATAGGTAACGTGTTTTGGCTGAGCGCAAAGATAATTCCATAGATTGTAAAAGATATGGACGTAGTATCCGTGACGTCACCTATAGGTTTATGAAGAGCCCAAAAGAAGCTACCAGTAGCCGTGGCCAACCGGCGCTGTTTTGTCATCGCATTAACCGGGGCATACCAAATAAGGGCAAAGAAGCGGAGGAAGTCTGAACTTGCAAATAAAGGATGCAGGACTGAACTGTCTGTAGGCTACTTAATTTTGAGGAAAAAGCCCCAATCAGTCTGCAGCCACGTATTCGTTTTCAGATGTCTCCGTTTTCCCCCTATCCACACTGACACGAAGCGGCAGCGTTTTAAAATGAAAACGGCCTCTTCAGCGTTTCCATAAAGCTCAGTTTTTGGGTGCTCGAAAACTGTGCCGTAGTGTGGACAGATGGCATAACCCTAGCAAATCTTATGCGTTTTAAAACTAAAACATATTAGTGTAAACAGGACCTTAATCTCTTATATATCAGGGGTTGCCACAGTGACATAAATATATATATATATATATATACACTCTATATATATATATATATATATATATATATATATATATATATATATATACTCTATATGCCATACTCTATGATGCATTTATCATAAGCCAGCTACCATGTATTACTTTTACTGCAGAACCATACAAACTCAGAAGAAAAATTATGAATAAACTTTGTGCATAGCAGCATGAAGCTTCTGAGTACTGTCAGGCAAAGATAAACAACTTAGCATGGCACAACAGTGTGCTTTTCCCTTTCTAACATATTGAAGAAAAAAGTATTCTTGCTTTGCCAACCTTACACAACAAAAGTTGAAAATTTGAAGCAGCAACCAAAAACGGCTTCTCTATCTTATGAAAACACATGGCTTCATGCTGATTCCTTCAATAGCTAGACGTCTGGATGAAAGTACTTTGTAAGACTGTGGGGTGAGAGTTCCTACACTGCATTGCATATGTGCACAAAAAAATATTTTATTGAATATGATTGTGAAATACAAATGTTTGGATGGCAATAGTGAATTATTCAGGACTCGCACCTTCTCTTCCAGCCTGATATTTTTTTTCCCCCTCAAGATGTTTACATGATGACTTTTCATTCCGTCAGTCTGTTTGTTCATGTAAATGTGGTTCCACCTCCTTATTAACAGTCTAATCTCTTTCCTTCATAGTCGAGAGGAATGGACCTGGTGGAGATTCTTTCCTTTTTGTTCCAGCTGAGTTTTTCCACTCTTGGAAGGGTGAGTGCTGCTTTTACTACAGTACGCCCAGAATAACATATGAGTCATAGATAAAAGCTATTACTTATCGTAATTAAATTAAAGAAGCCACTCTGCCTTTCTCTGCTTGGTTATTAAAAGGTTTTGCTTTGTAGTCTGATTGTTGTTTTTCTTGTAGGATTATTCTGTGGAGGGCATGAGCGAGTCCCTGCTCACATTTTTGCAGCATCTACGAGAGTTTGGTCTGGTTTTTCAAAGAAAGGTCTGTCATTTAGTGAAAATACTAAATTTAGATCAAAGATCAAAACCCAAACTTTTGAATGATGTACATAGAATTTATTTTAATATATTTGACAATACAGTTGAAGTCAGAATTATTAAACCCCCTGAATTATTAGCACTCCTGTTAATTTTTTTCCCAAATTTCTGTTTAACGGAGAGATTTTTTAAACAAATTTCTAAACATAATAGTTTTAATAGCTTATACCTGATAAATAATTTATTTTATCTTTGCCATAATGAAAGTAAATAATATTTGACTAGATATTTTTTCTAGACACTTCTATACAGGTAAAAGTGACATTTAAAGGCTTAACTAGGTTAATTAGACAAACAATTAAAATGATAATTTTAACCTTTAAAATGTTTTTTTTTTTTTATTCTAGACAAAATAAAACAAATAAGACTTTTTTTCCGGAAGCGAAAATATTATCAGACATACTGTGAAAATTTCCTTGTTAATTTTCCTCTGTTAAACATCATTTGGTAAATATTAAAAAAAAAAAAAAATCAACTTTATGCTCATTGGGGCTGAATTCATTTAATGAAGTATATTAAAATCAGCACTGTTGTAAATAAACACACACACACACACACACACACACACACACACACACACACACACACACACACACACACACACACACACACATTCATTATTTTTGAGTAATATATTAAGAAGTGTATAAATTAAAGTAGAAGTCATTTTTCTTTGTCTTCATATTTTTGTGGAAATGGCAATATTGTGCCAATCCAGAAAATGTATGTTTTTACATTTTTTTGTTTGTTATTTAGTCTTATACAAGTATTTTCAATCAAGGACACGTTAAACTGATCAAAAGTGAAAGTAAATGCATAATATAATGAAAGATTCTATATATTTTTAAATTTACAACTGTTGTTGTTGTTGTTTGTTACCTATATTTCTATTTATCAGTGATTCCCTAATTAAAATATATCACCATTTTCACAATAATTCAAGAATACTTGACAGATTTTATACTAAGTGAACTTGTTTTTAAAAACATCTTCTGAAAGAAAGACTTTTAAGTCATGTATCATATATGACAGTGAAAAAATTCTGTTTTTAATGTAATATTGATAGTGTATTTTTGTCACCTCTTTATCTTATTGATTTATGAAGTTGTTGGAGTTTTTCGGTGAACTGTCCCTTTAACTATATTTAAAAATAAACACGACCAGTCAAAAGTTTGGGGTCATTTTTTTTTTCATCCTTTTTTATTTTTTAAAGAAAATTATTCTGTTTATCAATGCGGCATTTATTAAACAAAAAAATTGTTAAATACTTTTTTATTAAATATTTATTTATTACTTTTAGTATGTAGTTTCAAGTAAAATGATTACTCCAAATCAGGGCATGCATATATATATATATATATATATATATATATATATATATATATATATATATATATATATATATATATATATAGGGGGAAATAAAATAAAAACATGTGGTGCCCTTTGTTATAGCTCCAGGGCCCAATATGTTCCTAATATTGTCCTGCAAACAACTCTTTAAAAAAAAAAAAAAAAAAAAAGTAAATAAATAAATAAATAAAAAACCACAAAGTAAACCATATTAATTATTATTATTAATTCATTGATTTTCTTTTTGGCTTAGTCCCGTTATATTATTATTATTATTATTATTATTATTATTATATAGGCCTTGCTCGAAAGCAATCATGCAAACCAGGTTCTGCTAAAAAAATCTTTGCTCAGTATCTGGTGCACAGCGGCAAGACATTTGGCAGCAAACTATGACTTTATTTTAATGACAAATGTGTAATACTACTGCTAATTTAAGTTTTTATTAATAATATGCTTATGCAATGAATGACTGCTAACTGATCAAATGTTAGAATATGTAAACTTTTTTAGTTATATAAAATTAAAAGCCTGGGTGCTGATCCGCAGAGTACTATTATTTTGAGGGCGATATCAAGCTCAGATTTGGTTGGCCAATCAGCAAAATGAAAATCCAGCCAAATTCTTTTTTTTTCTTCTTTTTTTGTGAGTAAAAGAAAAACCAAAAAACGTCCGTTTTCTAAGTTTTCTTTTTTTTTGTTCGAAAACGGATATAGAATGGACAGAAAATACCCTGATTACTCCAGTCATTGTTGCTTTTACTACAGTTACATTCATAAAATTAATAATAGTAATAATATTCAGTATTAGAGTGATTTCTAAAGGATCATGTGAAACTGAAGACTAAAGTAATGAAGCTGAAAATTCATCTTTAAATCACTGGGGTAAATGATTAAATTAAATGATAAACTACTTTTAAAATGTTATTTTATAGTGCAATAACATTTTACAATTGTACCGTATGTTTGATTAAATAAATGCAGCCTTGATGAGCAGGAAAAGTTTATTTTAAAACATTAAAAAAATTCTACTGTCCTCAATGTATATATCTACAAGAAAACATCTACTCTAAATTGAAATCACATTTCTAATAATAACAGTTAAATTGTATTTTTGACCAAATAAACGCAGCCTTGGTGTACAGAGCAGATTAAAACAAAACCATTAAACAATTGTGCAAACTTTAAACTGGTAGTGTATGCTAATGTAAAAACAAGCGCTTGCACTGCTTTGCATCACTCCCTGTATCTTTTTTCCCCAGAGGAAGTCAAGAAGGTACTACCCTACGAGACTCGCCATAACTCTCGCTGCAGGAGTCACTGCAAACCCAGCCTCGGGATCTGCCTCTTCTGCACTGGGAGCAATACCAGGAACAGGAGACACTGGATTCATCGTTGTAGAAACTAATTATCGCATATATGCCTATACAAGTATGTCACACACTGATATTTGTCTACCACTTTACAAGATCATTCACGGAAAGGAGTACTAACTCTTTTTCTGCCTGACAGACTCTGAACTTCAGATTGCACTGGTCGCTCTGTTTAGTGAGATGTTGTATCGGTTTCCTAACCTGGTGGTTGCACAGGTCACCCGAGAGTCTGTGCAGCAGGCCATCAGTAACGGCATCACCGCACAGCAGGTGAGAGAGAGACCACCTGTTGATCTGTCCATTGGTTTGTCTTGTTTTTTTTTTAAAGGGCTGATTTGATTTCTATTTTATTTTTCAGATTATTCACTTCTTACGGACCCGAGCACACCCAGTAATGCTTAAACAGGTAATTGGTATTAGGTTTATACTTGTTGAGGTTTAGAAATGTGTGCAAAATGAATTTAGAAATACAGGTCGCTCTTTATTTGAAGGTACTCTAGCTATTAGAAAAACATTAATTATAGTGCTACACAATATACTGCAATTATCACAATTATAGTATATGCAATAAACACATCGACAACATGAATTACATTTATTTTATGCATTCCCCACCTACCCAGTCCAAAGCTGAACACAGAGCTGAATATATATACTAATGGCAGGAGTCGAGAAAAAAGAGAGGAAAATGTTATCAGAGTCAGAATATCTGCTGAGGTTTTCACTCCTTCGTAGTGTTTAAAAGACTAAATGTTCGCAACATGTCAGTTTATTCATAAAAATGTGCATTTGTATAATGTTAAAATTATTGTTTTTAGCAGAATTATTTATTATAAGCATATTTATATTTGTTTTAATAATAAAAACAAGTTTAGATTTGTCCTCCTGTCTGAATTTAGAGACGTTTGCATCACCATGGGGCATAAGAATAGGATGGGCGTTTGGATATAACTAAGTTTTTTGACCACATTTCATTGTTATTGTTAATTTCTTTTTTGTTTGCTGGAGATTAGAACCAAATTTAGAAATAGTTTTTCCTTGCGCTTAATAAATGAAAATGAGGACGCATGGAGGAAGCTCATTCTTTATCCTCGCGCTGCAGATGGTCTGTTTTACTCTTTTCACGCTAATGAAGCATTCAGCTTTTCCTCTTACAAAGTTTGCCATGTAAATAGCAAATGCGCCATGGTGCAACACAACTGACTCTTAAAGGGAAGATGAGACTCTGATTGGTTTAATGGACATTATGCTCAAAACATACCTAAAACTTATTAAGCAAATCATATTTTTCCATCCTTAAAATAGCAAAAGTGGATTCAGACATGCTTTTAATGCTTTTGTGCAATGAGCTTTAGACTCTGCGCCTAGATCATTAAAATAGAGCCCTAAAAGTTATATATACATTATTTGGGTGATTTTTTTGGGGGGGATATGTGCACCAGATTCAAAGTTTCATCTTTGAGAGACACATGAAGATTTTCTTTTATTACATTTTCATAAAATTTCTTCTACTTAAAATTCTATGTGCAATTCATAATCGCTTTATTTAATAAACAAGTTTAATTTTAGGTTTTACTCACATAATCGCATATATACAGCTGCATGTATTAAACATAATAGTTCTAATAACTAATTTATTGTGTCTTTGCCATGTTGACAGTACATGTAATGTATTTAGCAAGATACTAGTTTTCAGCTTAAAGTGCAATTTAAAAGCTTGAGGTTAAAAGCTAGGTTAATAAGGTCATTAAACAGCAATGGTTTGTTCTTTCTTAAGGGGGCTAATAATATTGACCTTAGAAGTTTTTAAATTTACTTTGTTTTTCCAGCCAAACAATAAAGAAATAAGACTTTGTCTCAAAGAAAAAATAAATGGGAAATATTATATAAAAAAACGTTGTCTTCACCTGTATGTGTGTGCGTGTGCGTGTGTGTGTGTGTATGTATGTTTGTATGTTTGTATGTATGTATGTATGTATGTATGTATGTATGTATGTATGTATGTATGTATGTATATATATATATATATATATATATATATATATATATATATATATATATATATATATATGTATGTTAGGTATGCTGTTTAACTGCTTATCAATGCAAATAAATAATCAGCCAATCGCATAGCACAATTTTGCTACAATTTTGTACAGGCTCACTATTACTGGAAAACAGCAGAGTGGAAAAAGACTGCCTTGTCAGATGGAACTGCAATGAATTCTGCAGTGACATATAGATGGAAGGGTCTGAACTCACCATAAACAAAAGAAAGCATGGATCCATGCTGCCTTGTTTAAACAGTTATTCATGTAATGTACTCTTGTCACACTTTGGTCTTCTTGGAACCATTTTAGGAAAAGAGTCACAGCTAGTGAATTTTATTGCTGATCATGTCCATCCTTTTATGACCACAGTGTACCCATTTTGTGATAACTAGCTACTTCAAGCAGGATAACACTCCATGCCACAGCTCAAATAATCTCAAACAGGTTTTGTAAACATCAAATGGCCTCCAAAGTCACCAGATCTCTATCCAATAAACCACTTTTGTGATGTGCTGGAACGGAAGATTCATATCACGGATGTGCATCCGACAAATCTACAGGAAGCTGTGTAATGCTATCATGCCAGTAGGAAGCAAAATCTCTGAGGATAATTCTCTGCACCTTAAATCTTTGCCACAAAGAATTTGGGCAGTTCAGATCAGTGAATGAATGTGTGTTTATATGTTATTAAAATTAAATCTCTTTAGGGTTTTATACACTTATTAAGGATTGACGTGAATATAGTAATTAAGACAAAAGTTATTGTAATGCTTTTTCAAAATGTGCAATAATATCTTGATTAAACTGCACAGCTCATATGGATCTGTTTTTAAGAATTTATAATGTTTTTGTAGCTTTTAAGTAAATGAAAGTTGTCACTAAAATGGCAGAAAGCCCACTCTAAAAAGTATTATTAGTATTTCAAAGATTAACCAAACCTTAGGGGGTTGGAATTACAAAAGGGCAAGTAAATGATGCCTATTAAATTAGTTCAAATTGTTTTAGTTATTTAAAAATTAAATGCTTAAAGGCATAGTATTTAATTTTTTTCCACTAGAGGGTGAATATCCTCAACAAACAAAGGGGTTGTTTGATGACTCTGTGACTGGAATCATGGAAGTTGTCATCTTCATTACATGGGGACACTGCAGAAAGCATTATTATCATAGTAGTGTGAAGCAGAGTAAAAGTCTGAAATGTTTGGATGCGTTGTTTTTGTATTCACATTTAAAAATGTCATTATGTTTACAAACCTTGCACACTGAATCTGATATGTAGTGATTAATCTATTGGAAAAAATTGATGAACATTTCAGAGTCAATTCAAGCAGTGATGTTTCATTCTCTTTCTTCATATTAGAATAAGAAAGAAGAATAAATATTGCGTTCATCCAATCCACTGCAAGGAGAGGAAGGAGAGTTCACCTCCTTATTAAACAGCTGCCTGGGATTATCCTGTAATGCAAGTTTATTTCAGGAAATCAATAATTTTTAAAAAATATTTTGCTTGAGATACATCAAACATTATTATCCGTAAATGGAACGCAAGCACTGAAGCAATTGCAGACAAGTGTGACACGGCATCAAAGCAGCTAAGCTTTTATTATGCAACAATCCACCGCTTTCGGTTCTTCCAGTTGTGATAACATAGGGAGGGAAGCGTTTGTTCATTATTTTTTTTATCGTATAAAAATATATATTTTAGGGCTCTGTTATAAATTCTCAAATAAAATGCACAACATATTAAAATGTTGTTGATGCTTCCCTGTTTTTGATCAAATCAAACCAGAAATCGAGGGTATATCTAATTCATTCTGCGTCACTAGTTAAATTGCTTATATCTCTGGATTTCAACATTCTCCGAAATATTTTAGATAATATAAGTAAGCAAAATATATATCACAGCTCTTGTAGTTTTAGGATATTTTAATGAGGAAAATTACATAATGTGCCTTTAACTTAAAATCCCATTAATGTCCCCTGTAGACTTGGATGTCCCTTAGGTGTCACCCTTGTGCAATATGCCAGTTACTATCATGTAAATGTTATGCTGCTACTGTATGTAAATAATTATGGCCTAAACATGCATAAACATGTTTAGTGTGTGTGGTTTTGTTTTTAGACCCCCGTTCTCCCCCCAACCATCACAGATCAGATCAGACTGTGGGAGCTTGAGAAAGATCGCTTGCAGTTTACCGAGGGTGAGTGTGTCTCTGTGCATATAAGATGAGCTTTTTTTTTTTTTTACTTCCTAGCCAATTTGCATTTCCCATTAAGTCAATTTGTGTTTTACTTCAGACAGCTCAATTACATATTAATATTGCATTAGTAATTTCAGTGACTTAAATAATACACTGTCAGCTTCATTTAAAAGCAGCCTCTGGGAATGGCTGTCTCCATTTCAATATATATAAAAGAGAAATTGCATATTGATGATATTATAGCATGGAGAATTTGTTTCAATTCCGTGGATGACCTACACGGTTCATTCTCTCAAATGTAAATGTCAGACTGTATGAGAAATGTGTTGGTGAAATGCAATGTAAATAATGCATTTGCATTGGAATAAGAGTGGGGTTGAGGGTCATAAATGGCATCTAAATATATGCAGACATCTCAGTGATGCATTTTGTTTTCTTTAACTACTATGTTTTTCTTGCAGGAGTGTTATACAACCAGTTTTTATCCCAGGCTGATTTCGAAGTGTTGCGGGACAGGGCTCAGGTAAAAAAAAAAACTTGTACTTTCTACTTGTATTACCAGCACTTATACATTGAGTACTGATTGTTATACCTCTGTCCTGCAGGGTTTAGGAGTGCTGGTGTGGCAGAATCCCGCTCACAGGGTCATGGTGGTGACTCCTCATGGACACAGCGAGGTTAAGAGATTCTGGAAGAGACAAAAAAGCCATTCATAAGGGAAAAACTTAAAGTATGCAGTAAGAAACCTAGTAAACAGTAGGTTCATGTAATCTTTTAGCTCTGAAAGATTACATAAACTTACTGTATACTTATTATTGAATTTATGCTTACAAATGAACAGGAGGACTATTTTTGTGCATTTTACTGCAAGTTGATCTGGGTAAAAAAAACAAAGTTTCTATGCATAGTTTGAAGCCTTTTGCTGTTCATGTGACAGTATGTGCATTATTATTCTGTTATTGACTTGATTTCGCTTTTGTAGTGTATAAATTTGCTACACGTTTGTGTCCAAGGTAAACTGACCAAAATAAACACTGTTTACAATGAGCGCTCTCACTTTTGTTTGATAACATGGAAATTTAGTCAGTGAAATTGACAACATGGAAATTTAGGCCATGAAATTTACATTTCAGTCACAAGTAATTAGGAGGGAAATAACAGAGTTCAGTTTCAGATATAAATTTGAATAAATTAGTCTTAATGGGCAAATGTTACAAAAACATCCCGGTCATGGTTTTTAAGAATTATTATTGAAATAAAAGTATATGGTATAATAAATGTTAATTTTTAGGACAGTTCCTTAAAAATGACTCTAATGGTTCTCCCAAACAACATCATTCTTCCAAACAACTATTCATTTTGTATATAATATTATTACGTAGTATGTCATTTTAAACAGGGATTGAAAGCAATAAACAACTTGTTTTCAGATGTGCTTAATTATTAAGCAGGTTTTCCTATTTTTAAATGGCCCAAAATAAGATGCAATTCTTAATGAACAGTAAAAGTATCCACAAGATGTTTGCAGTATTTTAGAAACTGTATGCTTACTGGGGTAACGGTGAAAAATTAGATTAAAACAGGTCAAAAATAAATTGAGTTCATTTGCAAAACAATAATTTAAAAAATTGATTTGTTTATATTACCATGATTTAAGAACATGAATAAAAACCAATTAAAAAAAATAAAGATTTTAAAAGCTACAATGAAAAAAGAATGAGAAGTACAAAAAAAAAAAAAAAAAAAACAGAGAAGAAAAATACAAGAGAAAATTATGCTGGTCCCTCTATCTCCTACCTTGAAAGGTTAATTTTCTTGCCCAGCTTTTCATGCCAAAACATTGAAATTTGGGACTGTTTGGTTTATATATATATATATATATATATATATATATATATATATATATATATATATATATATATATATATATATATATATATATATATATATATATATATATATATATATATATATATATATATACCTTGTATGTAATGTTTTAAAGTAATGTGAAGAGAACATCTGAACCATATATATTTTTATTACACTTTATCAATTTGTGTCTGATTATTTTAAACACATTTTAAAGGATGTTATAAATCTCTACTTGAGCAAAAGGAATAGACTCATTCATGTATACTGAAGAATTTATAAAGGAGTGTTCATCTACAGTTTGCCTGATTATAAACATTTTATTTGCACTTATTTTTTCCCCTGATTGTTCCCCAAATAAAAAAAGTTTTACTGTAATGCCAAACAAAGGAGTTCTTGATTGAATTGCTATTAGTTCTGGACTGGTAAATTGGCATGTTGAATTATGCCTTTCTAAGTAGGTTAATAAAAATGTATATCAAATAAGAACAGTTTGTGGTTAATTAAAAAAAAAGGTATTTACCCTAATAACTTGCATAGTTTTATGTTGTATATGACATTTTTATAAGTGAAAATTCACACCATTTTTTTGTTTACATTTTTATTTGGTTACTTTATTGGTTGTTAGCCCACAATTTAACTAATCAATGTCATTAGACGTCTGAAATTAAATAAGCAAACAGATTCTGAATGTGGCTTATGCCCTAATGAATTTAACGTTAGTATTCATTTACAAACAAGGCAGAAACTTTAAAGTTGATTTTCATGGAAAATGTTTGTAAGGACCGAAACAAAAAGGCAGCTAACTAGAGAGAGAGAGAGAGAGAGAGAGAAAAAAAAAGAAAGACATGAAAAAACGGGAACTACCATTGACAATAACAGTGACCGCTATCACTGTGTTTATGATCCCTGAGCAGTGCACTCTGGAGAGGCTGTGATTTCTGCAGTTAGCCGTGAAGCTAACGGTTCAGCCCGGGTCATTCTGCGCTGTCAGCTCCACGGCATGACGCTGTCGCTGCAAACAACACGCCTGCGCCGTTAATTCACACTGATTCACCGATTATGTAGCACTTTACCGACAGATTCTGGGGTAAATACATATTTATAAGCATGGCAAACATTTAAGCGCCTGCATATTCTGACTTGTAAGAGCAAAACGGGTCATTCTCGAGGCCACGGATGGAACCGGGGCGGCAGCGTGAGAACCCCCCCGGATCCGGGGAGCCCGAGTCGGGGGAGTGGAGAGAGGAGAGCGCCGGGTTGGAGGCTGGAGAAATAGACGACACCCTGAAAAACAGAAGCGGGGATGGAGGAAACGAGGAAACCACGAGCAAAACCGACAACACGGAAGCGGTGGAGAAAGATAAGACTGAGTTTGATGAAGATGAGGAGCAATATGAGGAAGAGCTGGACCCAAGGATCCAGGTATTGAGATAAACTTGATGTTGTGACAGGTGCATTGATTTATGACTCGTATTATCCACAGTATGCAATTAGTTGTTTATATTAGCACTGCAGGTTATTTATGGGCATTTGCTCATATAACGCTCATATAACGCTCCTTTCGTCATTTAGATAATTTTATTGTTATATTAATAGTAAATGATAGTACATTTTTCTTCCCTGTTGTTCCATGTGTCAGGAGGAGCTGGAACACTTGAATCAGGCCAGTGATGAGATCAACAGACTGGAACTACAGCTGGATGTGAGTCATTTCTGAGTTTGTGTTTGTAATCTCCTATTCAATGGTAGTAATTAATTGTTAAAGGGATAGATCACCTTAACTAAATTTGTGGTTCATTTACTTAAAGCCTTACAAGATGTAAGTGTCTGCTTTTTTTCTTCAGTAAAATAATAAAGACTTTTAGGAGAAACTGGTGCTTGGGGATTCATATAGTCAACAGCTACCACCAGCACTTTAAGAGTAAAAAAGAAAACAAAACATACAGAGGCAAAAGTAAAATAATATGTTGAGATTAGGAATGGGCTGGAATAATATTCTGATGGAATAACTTTGGATAAAAAATCACTCTCTTAATATGTTCATTTTAAATGTCTGAGTAACAAACAACTTTTTCCCTCGATCAACAAAGTATATTTTATAAAAAAAACATTGAAAAAGTATATCTTATAAAAAAAAATTTGAAAATATTTTGGAACAGTAAACATGTCAGGCTAAATGATTAAAATAACTAATTTTCTTCTGCTGTTTTTATTAGTTTCAAAAACAGATTTCTTTATAACTTGAAAAGGCATCCAGGGCTCAACAATAAGGACTGCCCGATGGCCCGGGGCCAGCGTGTGAGATGCTCGGGACAGTAGACAGGATCGTTACTGGCCCGATCGGGCCACTAATGCCCTGTCACTAAAGTTTAATTTGCCTGTGACTATTTGCCAATTGCGTGCAAATACAGTCAGAATAGAGAAACCGTTTGTGTTTTTAAGCCTTCAAATGCTACCTTCTCGGTTCCTCTTATCTGATTGGATGTTGTGAGGGTATTTTTTTTCCGTAACAACCAGTACAGCTAAGAGACAGCAACATGGCGGCAACATCAAGTGATGATGCTAAAGGAAAACATTCGTCTCTAACGTCTTGGAAGCAGACATTTACAAGGGTACACCACGACTACAAAAAAATGAAGTGATGTTTTGTACAGTTTGCCGTTAGTTTGGCAGGTCAGTCAACTTTTGTTTTGCAATAAAATACCTGCACCTTTTGCTACTTTTGTTTGCAAAACATGTTATTAACATTTTTTAAATTCTAGATTTACAAACATTTTGATACAAACAGCTATTAACTTTGTTGGTGGGGCCAGTGACAATATTGGCAGGGAGAGTAAAAAACTGAACCACTGGTCCGATCGGGCCAGTAGAAAAAATCCTTAGCGTTGAACCCTGGCATCTTTGGATATCTTTCTTATCTTTGGATATAAAGTACTGTTCAGGGTAGGGTTGCACCAACTGTTTGTAAGTTCTTAAACTGGGACATGAAGTTTACACTAGGGGCTTAATACTACTAGCTAGTTTGTAACTAAATTTGGTCTTAATTTGGTTGTTGCACCACGTGTTCAGGCAAACCATTGTTAGTAGGTCATAAGCTTTCTATAAAGTCATGCTTAGTCGCATTGAATGACGTAATATCCTATAAAAAGCATTCAAATTGTTAAACTGCTTTAAAATTCTGCAACTAATCCATCTATATAACTGTCTTATGAAAATGAAATGACGAATTACACTTTTATAGTACATTACATTACTGTCAGTCACTATAACAGACGAAGCACATACCTGCATCGCGAGCCGTGAATGCACGCAAAATACACATGAAGTTATCAAAACAATAAACTTGGTTTTTTATATATAGAATTGAAGTCAGAATTATTAGCCCCCCTGTTTGTTTTTCCCCAATTTCTGTTAAATGGAGAGAAGATTATTATTATTTTTAATAATTCTGACTTCAACGGCATATCCTACACATGAAAGACAAAAGAGAAGGGAGAAAAACTCAGTCATGAAGAAATTCTCATTTTAATTAATGAATACAATAAACAAAACACTCCTTGCAGGAAAATTAAACAATTCTTTCACAGACCGAAAAAATTTGAGATTTATGAGGAAAATAAGGCTGTGAGTAGTGGGAGATCATTCTTCAATATTATCGTGAGGTTCTTAATGTAAACTAATCTCGCTGTCATCTCTTTTCTACCATTATACATGGGGGAGGCTGCTGTGAATATTTAGTTGGAACGTATTGTTACGTTTAAACTAAGTTCAGTAGTGCAACACAGAAATATTTATTAGTGTGCAAGTTGTAACTTGATGTCTCTTTAAGTCACAACAAGGCTGTGCTGTTACCGGGCCCTGGTCTAGAGCATGTTGGTTTGCTGGCGTTTAAGCGATTTTTATATGTTTACTGAATTGTGGGCTGACCATGAGCTTTTGATGTGGAGGGTTTTTATTTTTGCTTAAGATACTGTTGCTCTAAAAAGTAAAATAAAAGTCTTAAAAACATGTAAAAAAAAAAAATTAAATAAAAGAAGAAAAAATGTATATAATGTAGGAACGGTAAAACTTTGCGATTTTTAAAACCTTGACTTTTCCAAACCACGGTTAATCTTAAAACCGTTATCATCCCATGCCTAGTTGAGATCTTATAAAGGAAAACAATCAGTTTAATCAATGCAAGAAAGTGACTTTAAAAAAAGTGAACATTTACAACTTCATTTCCTTCAATCCAGGAGTATCCAAACTTGGTCCAAACTTTAGATCCAACCTTCTTTAAAACACCTGGCTGGAAGTCTAGTATACCTAGAAAGAGCTTGATTAGCTGGTTCAGGAGTGTTTTATTGGGGTTGGGACCAAAATGTGCAGGACAGTGGCCCTCCAGAACCGAGTTTGGACACCCCTGTTCTAGTATATCTAGTAAGAGCTTGATTAGCTGGTTCAGGTGTGTTTGATTAGGGTGGGAGCTAAACTCACCAGGACGCTGACCCACCAGGACCGAGTTTGCACAGCCCTGCTTTAATTCACAGCCTCAGCAAATGGTCCTAAATAATGTTCATTTTTTTGCACAAACTGCTTGTTTTACTTCATACTACCTCAGTGTATTGTCATGAGCCACAGGTGTTACTTTTGTTTAGAATTAATATGTTGTTTTGACTCTTTCTTTAATGTTCTACCTGCTAATAAAATCAGATACATCTTGGATGACCTAGGTGGGAGTAAATGAAAGGATTAGTTTCCTCCACAATTAAAATATTCTTATATATCACTCACCTCCATGTAGAGTAACATGCATTTCTTTAGTTTGAAAATAAATTTAATAGATAAAAGATATTTTAGTTTTTTTCTTAATATCGTGGATTTCAACAGGAACCAACTGCAGGTCTTGCAGTTTCAGTGCAGGTTCAAATGGCTCCACACAACCCCAGCTGAGGCACAATAGTCTTGCCTAGTGAAATGATGGGTCATTTTCTAAAAGGTGAAAAAGGAAACACTGAAATTATACTTTTTAACCGTAAATGCTCAATTTAAACTAGCTCTGCAATGGGCGGCTTTATGCTTTGCAGTCATATTGGAAAGGTCATGGATGACAGTGGCAGAAATACTGACTTGTCTGAGTGTTTATAAAGCGAATGTGCAAAGACTAAGCCAAGCGCACTTTGCAGAAAATGTAAAACAATGATGCTGGATGGTTTTATAGTTGGTGGAGAAAATTAGATGCCTTTTTGAACTGGAATATACATACGAAGAACTTAGGAGGCTGTGGCCACAAAGTGTCATCCATGACCTTTGCGATATGTTTCATAATTTGTGATGTGCATTTGTGGTGGTAAAAAAAAGATAAAATATATGCATTCAGAAATTGAGTGCTCCTAAAGCCATTGATTGTTACAATCTATATATTTTCTCGACCTGTAGTTTCCTGTTAAAGTCCACTCTATCCTAACAAAATCTTGCATGGGGTGAGTAAATTATAAGAAAGTATGCCTTAAATTTCTGGGTGAATGATCTCTTTAATGGTGCAACTATCTGTTTAAAATCAGTGCCAGCCTGAGAGAGATCTTCAATTTGAGTAAAATAATGTCTTGCAATCCCATCTGATTACCTTAGTAAGAACTTTTCTATTGTTCACACCTGTTTTGTCATGCGAAATTGGTTCAGGTGAGTTTGCTGTTCTTTTTGTTGGGTGATTAATATAGTTTGTAACAATCAATGGCTATAAGAGGTAAGCTGCGGTCACACTGGGCTTTTCCTCCTCTTATAGATTTCAGTTCATACTCGCGCGAATGCATTAAACGGAAACGCAGGGTCATGCGTGAAGTTTCACAGGTTGCTGCGGTACAAAGTTTAAGCTTGGTGAACTCTTTAAATCCCGCCCCTTTTCGCAGAGCCGCACGACAGAATTTCGCATGCTCAAACTCTAATGTGACTGCAGCTTTACAGGGCTGATTTAATAAGTTATATATATATTTAATTTTCTGCACATAAGGCAGCTGTGAGATTTAAACAACCAAATCTGAAATCATATGATACAATATTTACCACATTTTGAAAAATTGAGTTTATCTGTAAGATAAAAAACCTTACAGACAAGATCAACATATTTTATTTAGCAGGAATGTCTTAAATTTTATTGGAATAATCAATAATGGTGTATCTATCTGCCTAAAATCAGTCCTAGCCTGAGATAGATCTTCAGTTTCAGTAAAAAATATCTTTCAATCACATCTGATTACACAGTGAGAATGTTTTATATTGTTCACACTTGTTCTATTGTCATACAATATTGGTTCAGGTGAGTTTGCGGTGACTTTTTAAATTTTTATTTTTATCATTAGGGTGATTAATATAGTTTGCAGGAATTAATGGCTCTAGGAGGATAACAAGGCTGATTTAATAAGTTATACACTTTTAGTTTTCTGCACATAATGCAGTCGTGTGTATTTACAACATTTTGAAAATTGCAGTCTGTAAGATAAAAACCTTACAGACAAGATACAATTGTTATAGATACAACAAAGACCCTTTATAATGTTACAATAAATTTATATTTAAAATAAAAGCTTTTTTTCCCCTTTTTGCATTTTACATGTTTATATATGTGTACATGGTAATAAAATATTGTTAGAAACAAATGGACATTATCCATGTACCCATATAATCAATGCTGTTTTCATAGTTTCGAATAACTCTTTGGAAATCATATCACACTTAACATTGGAGGTAAATTTAGCATTCCTTCACAGGAATAGATTACTGTAGAGCAGGGGTGTTGAACTCAATTCCTGGAGGGCTGAAGCCCTGCACAGTTTAGTTCCAGCCCTACTCTAACACACTTACCTGTAGGTTTCAAACAAGCCTGAAGGACTCAATTAGTTTGATCAGGTTTGTTTAATTAGGGTTGAACTAAACTGTGCAGAGCTGCGGCCCTTTTGGAACTGAGTTTGACACCTGTGCTGTAGAGGTATTTAATAAAATACAACAGTTATATTAAATTGCAACAATATTTCACAGTTTTTAGAGTATTTTTATTTAAGTTTTAGGAAAAAAAAATCTTTTCATAGTCTAGTGGTCCAGTTTGATTTCAAGCTATGTCTTGATGCTGTTTCTGTTATGAAGTAAAAAAATATATATCTAAGGTGGAAAAAAGAAAGAAAACACTTTCTTATTTTTAAAACAAAATATAGATTTTGTATAATACCTATATTTATTTACTACAATATACAGTGCTCATCATAATTGAGTACACCCATTTTAAAAAATGAATATTTTTTTTATCTATTTTTCAGTGAATATAGGCAATGTATTTTGGTTCATTTAAACAAAACAGATTTATTAAACAGATATATTTAATAAAATAATATTTTAGTCACCAAACAAACATAAATTCAAGGATAATACATTTAAATTCAAGCAAAATATTGCAAAAATAAAATACAACCTAAATTTAAGCTAAACTTTTCAAGATCTTTTTTTTCCCTCTTTTTTTTAGATGTGTATTTAATATTTTTCTATAACATAAATTTGGGTGTACTAGTTTTTGGACCGTTATCGTAAGTTATTTTGTTGGGTAAGTTCCAGATTTGGCTTCAGTACTGACTAATCTAATGTACAGTCTGAATTATTTACCCCCCTGAATTATTAGCCATTGAATTATTTTTTTTTTAATGAAAGACAGCTTTAATTCCAGCCGAAATAAAAAAAAATAAGACTTTCTCCAGAAGAAAAAATATTATCAGACATACTGAAAATGTCATTGCTCTGTTAAACATAATTTGGAAAATATTTAAAAAAGAAAAAAAATTAAATGGGGGCTAATTTTTATGACTTTAACTGTATGCTGAGCAATGTAATTATACATTTTCTTATTTGCATTCAGTGTGCAACATTTGTATTGTGAATCACACAAGTTTAGAATCACTAAATGAAATGTTAATATTGCTTTCATGGTTTACTCATTTGGTCAAGTTGACTGTTGTTTTTCTCACCCTGTCTCATTGTTTTAACCCTCATTTAGGAAGCGAGATCTAGCTACAGGAGGATCCTTACAGACTCCGCACGAAAACTCAACGCTCAGGGCTCTCAGCTGGGAGCCTGCATTGAGAAAGCCAGACCTTACTATGAAGCCCGTAGACTCGCTAAAGAGGTGTGTGTTTGTGTGTGTTAAAGAGAAAGAGAACATGATATTGCATGTTTGTCCCTGATTTCAAGATGTTTTTGTATTTTGCTGATTCATTCCCACTCTCATTATTGTGAAAAATCCTCCTGCTGAAACCGCAAACGTTTCTCAGTGCAGTGGTCATTATGGTGAAAGAGCGAGTGTGTTAATGCGATTAACCCTCATAACACAAGATGTGATTTGCACATCACTTTTCATTAGCATTTTGGAGCCAATTTTGAATATGTAATTGAACTGATGAAAATCGTTTAGTCGAGGCTGTAGAGAGTAATTGAAAACAATTGAACCAATGCTGTGCTAAAACTCAGGTCAACTCCATCATGAAAAACTGTAAATAAGTTTGGGATGGATGTGCAGACAAGGTCTGTGTATCTAGTGGCTATTGATTAGGGACCCATTTTTATGGTTGTCTAATTTAGAGGTTTTTGTACATATAAAATTAGTTCAGACAATTATGCAAACCTTTTAGTGGGTAATCATATTTTTTTTTATTACAAGTGGCTATAAATTGTAAGAATAGCAGGGTATAATGGGGTGTATTAATATGTACTGTACATAATGTCATTTAACAATAGTAAATAAGATGGGCACAAAATAGCTGAACTGATTTTATCAAATCAGTTGTTTTTAACTTTTGAGTCGGTAGGATTTTTTTTTAGTCTTGTACATACACTCACTGGCCACTTTATTAGGTACAACTTACTTGTACCGGGTTGGATCCCTTTTGCCTTCAGAACTGCCCTAATCATTTGTGGCATAGATTCAACAAGGTACTGAAAATATTCCTCAGAGATTTTGGGCCATATTGACATGATAGCATCACGCAGTTGCTGTAGATTTGTCGGCTACACATCCATGATGCGAATCTCCCGTTCCACCACATCCCAAAGGTGCTCTATTTGATTGAGATCTGGTGACTGTGGAGGCCATTTGACTACATTGAACTCATTGTCATGTTCAAGAAACCAGTCTGAGAGGATTCGCGCTTTATAACATGGCGCGTTATCCTGCTGGAAGTAAACATCAGAAGATAAGTGCACTGTGGTCATGAAGGGATGGACATGGTCAGCAACATTACACAGGTAGGCTGTGGCATTGACATGATGCTCAATTGGGACTAATGGGCCCAAAGTGTGCCAAGAAAATATCGCCCACATCGTTACTTCACCAGCAGCCTGAACTGTTGATACAATGCAGAATGGATCCATGCTTTCATGTTGTTGATGTCAAATTCTGACCCCACCATCAGAATGTCACAACAAAAATCGAGACTCATTATATCAGGCAAAATCTTTTATTGTCTAATTTTGGTGAGTCTCTGCATATTGTAGTCCTCAGTTTCCTGTTCTGTTCCTGTTACGTTCACAGAACTTCCGCTCACTGCATGTCTTCTCTTTTTGGGACCATTCTCTGCAAACCCTAGAGATAGTTGTGCCTGAAAATCCCAGTGGATCAGCAGTTTCTGAACACCAACAACCATTCCACATTGGAAGTCACTCAAATCACCTTTCTTCCCCATTCTAATACTCGGTTTGAATTGCAGTAGATCGTCTTGACCATGTCTACATGACTAAATACATTGAGTTGATGTCATGTGATTGGCCGATTAGAAATTTGCGTTAACGAGCAGAGTGACATTGTACCTAATAAAGATGCCAGTGAGTGTATTTTTAACATTTGCATACTTTTTTTATTTATTACAGTCATTACAAATAACAATTAGATACTATCCCTAATCCTACCTATGAACCTAAGCTTAAACTATGGCCTAAAATAACCCTTAATAATTCTTAAATACACTACGCAGAAGTTGGTTATAGACATAATGTAGAAAAAAAAAAGTGCAACTGATGGTTTCACTTACATGAATCAAACTTACCAGATAGAATTTTCAGGTCTTTTTGTGAGCCAGCTTTATGAATTTAAAGACACGAAACAGCCACTCTCTTCTTCTTGTGTGTTGTTTTGATCAAAGAAAACTAAATATAATTTTAGAGTTAAAAAAAAAAGAATGATCAAATCTGAAATAGTTTTTTAAAGATATATTTCCCAAAGTTGTATCAAAACCTACCCTTATTGAAAGAATGTAATGTCTAAAATCACGCAGAAATGTGGCGATACATTTCCTATTTGCAGGCTAATCTGCATTTATGTAAATTTCCTGTTTAATTCCCTTATATTCCCAAGTTTCCAGCTTCGAAACTTCAGGAATTTTGCAGCCCTAAACACCAGTAGGTGCAAGTCACTAGTATGTGAAAATCAGTATGTTAGCCGAGAAGTTTGTCTGAATTCATTGTAGACGAGTAATCTAGAATAACACAATGACCTACTACTGGCGAAATTTTGAAATGGGCATAAATGAACACTTTACTAACCCATGAGGAAACAGGAGAGAATTTATAAATTTGAGTGTTGAAGTGTTACACCTCACTTGTGATTATGAAAACATGGCAGATGCTGTATACGTATGAATGCCAAAAATATCTTCATACTATATAGAACATAATTGGATTTGCTTTGTAAACATTAAATAAAGTTAAAAAGGGTTTTTTTTTTATTTTATATATTAAGTTTTTAGTTACGATTCTCCCAAAATTATTATGCTTGAATCTGCAGAGTTTTTTTTACAAAATTCTGCGCAGAATCAATAAAAAATGTTTGCAGAATCTGTCTGGTCCTAGTCATTGCATCTCTAATTGTGCTCCCAAATTGTGCATTTTTTTAGAAGAGGGCAGAGCTGTCAAAATGTGCTTTTGTTTGTTTTTTGCAAAGTGAGTGACATGCTTGATAGTCCAAGCTGGCACACTGTTAAAATAACAATTACGTTATTATCATAGACAATAAATATTGCACACCCCTACCGTCAACAACACAAAAAGTTTTGACTTCAGTCATACAGACAGCTGTTGCATGAGCAGGATATTTCAAGAATCTTCCAGCAAGTTTGTTGATGTGTGTGTGTGTGATTGTAGCCAACTTCAGATATCATCCTTGGCAAGGATGCCATATTTCCAACAAGTTATCCCAATGAAATATGGCCTGTCATTCTCGGTTGCTGACTTTTATTGATTGGTTTGGGTGTTCTGATCTGTGCGCAGCAATTTTCACTGACAGCAAGCCAGGCTTTTGGAGTTAAACGGTTTTAAAATCCAGCTTAGTATGCCTTTGTCAGTCTTAAACCCATCCACAGCTCTAATTGGCCATTTAAACCTCATTATTTCAAACGGATGATTTCAGTTTCCTGGATTCTTTCATCTTGCGTTTTCTTTTATTATGCAAAATAAAAAGAGAAAATAATAATAATAATAATCAAATGGAACTGTAGTACGCTTCCATACATAATGCCACATGCTTTAGTTTGTCTCTTTTTAGGGTTTTACTGGATATTTTGCAGGCTAAAATAACCTTTTTGTGGCATTTTTTTTCTAAAGGTTATACATATATAAATTTTTATTTTTTTTAGTTTAGACTTCATTAGACTCTCTAGTTTAAAAGAAACACTAAGAGAAACAAAGAGATATTGCAATGTGAAATCCAATGAAGCAAACAAATTATGATTCAAGAAGGACTTTCAGAATAAATTAATAGAAATTCTCTTCCAATCAATAAAATCTTTTCAATTAGCAAAACCATTAGAATTGGAAAAACCATGTTAACATATGTGACCCTGGACCCCAGTAGGCACAAAATAAAAAAAAAAAACATTGTATGAGTAAAGGGGGTGGCACAGTGGCTCAGCTGTTAGCACTGTCGCTCACAGTATGAAGGTCGCTGGTTTGAGTCCCAGCTGGACAAGTTGGCATTTCTGTGTGGTTTAAATTTTCTCCCTGTGTTGGTATGGGTTTCCTCCGGATGCTTCGGTTACCCCCACAGTCCAAAGATATGCACTATAGGTAAATTGGATTAATCAAATTGGCCACAATGTATGTGTGTGAATGCAAGAGTGTATAATGGGTGTTTCCCGCTACGTAAAACATATGCTTGAATTGTTGGTGGTTCATTCTGCTGTGGTGACCCCTGACAAATAAGGGGCTAAGCTGAAGGAAAATTAATGGATGAGTAAAAATGACAGATGACATTTTTATTATTATGCCAAAGATAATTTGAATATTAGTTAAAGATTATGTCCCATGACGATAATTTGTCAATTTCCTAGTGTAAATATTTCAAACCTCAAATAAATTTTTGTTTGATTGGAAATGTGCATTGCTAAGCATTTCATTTAGACAACTTTAATGGTCGTTTTCTCTGTATTTTGATTTTTTTTGTTTACCTTCAGTTTCCAGATTTTAAAATAGTTGTATATGGGAAAAAATTGTCCCCCAATAAACCGTACTTAAACAGAAAGCTTATTAATTAAGGTTTAAGATTATGTGTAAATATGAATTTACACAATCTTATGTATAAAACCTGACACACATAACTTATTTTATGTTCCTGGGTCACACATATTCAATAAAATATATTACGTTGGTTAGCTAATCAATAGCTGTGACTCATTTTAGAGGCTGCATTCTTCGAAGGATGCATTCGAAGGGCGAAGCGTCATCACAGTGCAACGAAGGCTGTCCCATTTTAAAAAATTCGAAGACTCCTTCAAAATGCAGCCTTCTTCGTTTGCGAGGGAATGAAGGACACAACTGGTGGATCTTTTGCGACCTCGAACGTCCGAAGATTCATTGCCCACTGATGACAGCAGGATGTTTTTAAAAGAAAACTTTGGAATAAATGTCTGGATTAGGTTTTATTTTACTTGGATATCTAAACACATGTTAAAAAACATAAAGAGTATGACATATCCTACTTCAAATTTTTATAGACAGTTTACATTTTTATGTGTACATGTATGGATCAAAAGAAAAAGATTTCCAGCTTCTGTAAACCTTGTTTTGCCTTCAGATCGCTTAAAATAAAATTGGAAATAACAAATTGTCAGTCATTGCAAGTTGTATAAGGCTTATTAACGACAGCTTAAGTGTGAACTTCGAAGGACTTACCTTTGAAGTCTGCATCCTTCGGATAATGCAGCCTCTGAAATGAGACGCAGCTAATCAGTATTTAAAACCAACTGCATTGCATTGTGTTTTTCTCATCACAATTAAAGCGATAGAGCTTTCATCATAAAAGTGTTTAAATTTGATCTTAATAAGAAAGATTATTGGGATGTTTAGCTAAAGATTGAACCAAAAAATAAATGATTTTCACTTGTGGCCATATAAATTATAATGAATCATTGCAATTTTGCCCTCTTTGAGCCGTGCTGTTTTTAAATTTTTTAAATTTTTATTTTCTCAATTTAAATCATATTTAAAGCAACTTGAAGTTTAACAGTTGATTCAATGCACTCACCTTACTTCAAGCTGGCAATAGTGGCCTTAAAGGTAAGTCTAAAGTTGCTCAATCTCCAAAACATCTGGAGAAATAAAAAAAAAATGCAGCACTTGTTTGGTTTTGTGTTTTAATTCTGTGATCACCTAATGGCAAATTCCTAGAGGGTCTGGCGTGTGTTTTATTACACAGAATAACCTGATGCAAAATTTAGAAAGATTTGCAGTCCCCATTCACTTTATAGCTCTCAGTAAGGTCAGCTTCCTTTCCTCTGATTGGCTGCATGTTTACAGAGCTGACTGTTTGATTACTGTGCAAGAAATATGATGGATGACCTCACCCACAGGCTCAACAGGAGACCCAGAAGGCAGCACTGAGGTACGAGAGGGCCGTCTCCATGCACACAGCTGCCAGAGAGATGGTTTATGTGGCCGAGCAAGGTTTATTGGCTGACAGGAACACATTGGACCCTACCTGGCAGGAGATGCTAAACCATGCCACAGCCAAGGTATGACACAGCGACTCTGCATTCATGGCCACAACCAGGGTTTGAACATTTAGTGAGGTTTAGGGGCTTGTTAAGAATTGTGCAGTTATAAAGGCTGCAAATACAACTCATTAAATACAGTACATCATTGACCTTGCTCACTACATCACAGTTTGGTAATAATATAGACCTATCTTTCTTTCTGTTTGTCTGTATACTAGGTACTAACATATTGACCACTGATATTGGATGAATGTAAAGCACAGGCATATCAGCAATGATATAAAAAAGGCTGATATTGATAGTAGGGCTGCACAATAATATAGTTTTAGTGTCAATATCACTATGTGCGCAGCAGCAATAGTCACATCGCAAGATATGCAATGTTGAGTCTGAATTATAGTTGACTAGGAGCCACAGAACACATCTGATTTGTAGAGTCACTTCTAAGTTTAACCATAAGAGTAAATGATGATCATTTACTTGTGTTTAAAGGCTTTGACTGAGCTGAGAGTTTGGACATAAAAACATATGATGTTTGGAGGTGTAGCAAAGATTAATTGTATTTAGTTATTTTTGCCTTGGTTATAGTCCAAATATCTACATTTTAAAGTGAAAATAAGATTATTTTAATTACCCCATAGGCAAATAATTTTGCTTGGTTTAAAGAAAAACTCCTAATTTTGAGTTATTTCTTCTGAAGGTGATAACAAAACATTTTTTTTTACTTGATCTACAAATTTTTTTTAGTTATTTGTACAAGAAACGAGACAAAGCAAAGTAAGAAAATAATTTTTTGTGTTGTGATTATTCAATTTCTGTACCTGAATACTGTTCGACTCCCTAGAAATAGTCTAATAGAGCTATTTACCATCTTCTGAAACTGTAAACGTATTTCAGTATTTATTGCAGAAAAATAAAATATCGCAATATCAGATGATTACATTGAAGCAATGAGTTGCATGTCTTTTGTGTAATCCAATGTTTCTCTCAGAGCAAAATCACTAAATACTTGCAAAAAATAAAATATAATCTGTACAAAATGTGTAATCTAATATGTACAGAGTCTCACTTCAGGAAAGTAACTGGTGTGTACCATGGCTCAAGCACTGGCACAAAGCCATTGTTTAGTTTGGACTAAAAATATTTTGGACAATAAAAGAAAGTAACTGCAGTTTGGTCAGTCAATATTTTTCCAGAGCAACAAAATTTATAATTTCTACAGAGAAACAGCACTGGTATTATTTAAGTGTTTAAATATATATATATATGTGTAACGTTATATTTCAAGGAAATGTTAATGGTGTTGATGGAGATATCGAATTGCAAAAATCATCCTTGAAGATTGTCATATTGCAGTTATTTAAATCTTAACTTGTACCTCTATTAAAATATTGAATGTTAAATCCATATTCAGTTAAATTAATTTAATGGAGAGAGAATAAAACTAGCTAGTACTGGATAGTACTATGTAGTTGAACGCAATTGGTATTGGTTACAGTATCAGCCAAATGTTTTGTTTTGTTTTTGTTAAAATTGATATCGGCAGCAATTTATTTTTTTAATCCTATCAGTCTGTCCTTACACCTAATAATTGTTAAAGAACCCCTGTTATGCATTACAATAGGTCATATTTTGGTTTAGGGGGTCTCCAACAACAATTTGATATGCATTTAACGTTAAAAAACACTTTCATTGTCTTATAATATGCATTTATTTGTACCTAATTATCCCAATGACTCCCAAATGGTTTGTTCAGCGATTTAATTGTTCCCAAACCCCTCCTTTGCATGTCGCTAATCTGCGCTGATTGGTCCGATGACCCAATCTGTCGCGATTGGTCTACTGGGTTCAGAGTGAGAAAAAAAAAATGCCCAACATGGCTTATCAACATTGATAAACTAGCTAGAGTGCAAAGTACATGTGTGAGTCCAACACAGGAGTGCATTAAAGCAATTCAGTTAAACACCAGCATATTACTCTATTCTTAATTTTAAGTAAAAACAACGGCACACATTCAGTATTAATCCACACTGGCAAAAGCTGAACTATTTTGAAGGACTGCAGCATGTGTCTAGAAACAGCTGACCTAGGCCATAGCAATGACAAACGGCAGTGGATTGTGAGCTCCCAAACTCGTATAAATCGGTAAAGAAATCGACACGCGGCATGATTTAAACAAGGTTTTAGATATGATATGTGAATATAAAGAGTTAACCAGATACAGTACAAGCCGAGTAAAGCAATTACAACTTATAAAACACAATTAAATGCACATTTTGCAAGCTAATGGCAATCAATTTAACCACACTAACAACTTGAGATCCTGAGGAAGAAGAAACAGCTTCATATAAACTGTGTACTGTACTAACAAAAGTTCCTGTTAAGGTCTGACAAAGTCCCATACATATTTTCATCAAATAGTCTTTGCTAATCCTTCCTTTAAAAAATGACCGGCGAATACCCTGTTGCTAATCATCTGAATGTTCGCTTAATGTTTACTCATCTTCACCCGTGATCAATCCCACACACATCTGCACTCCGCTAGTTTTTGAAGGGAAAGGCTCGTTCACGCTTTACCGGATCCGACACTTCATATTTGGTATGGTTTCATGTCAATGTCAGTATTAACAGGCAAAAGATTTGGACAAACAATGAACCATTTAAAGAGGTGGTCCACTATGATATCATATTTTAAACTTTAGTTGATCTTTAATGTAGCTGTGTGAACATAAACAACATCTCTAAATGTAATGCGCTCAAAGTTCAAGGCAAAGGGAGACATTGGTTTTTTCAGAGTTGGCTTAGCAAAACCTACAATGAACAAAGTTTGTGGACTACAAAAAATACATTCAGGCTAATGAGATTACAAGGGCTTCCAGTTACGTGCATTCACCATGCACACACACCCTTCTCAGCACATTATGTTAGCTGACCAATCAGAGCCTCTTGAGGACGGGCCTTTAACAGGATAGGAAATATGACAGTTGTTTTTATGTTAGCTGATTAGCTGTATATAATCAAAGTAAGAGTTATGAAAAAATTACTTGATTTTTCTTGTTTGATGGTTTTGTACAGAAAGTATCATGGTGATCAGTGCATTTGTCTCCTCACCTGCCCACTTCTTTTTTTAATTTTTTTTTTCAGTGTAGTTAATTTGCAGTCGTTGTTTCCATCCAAAAATGCAAATTAGACTTATACACAAAACCGCAATATTGCATAAAACATTTGTGAATAAAACACCATTTCCATTTGATGAATCAAAGAGAACAAAATCACAACTTCCTGATGAGCTGCTGCTAAATATCTTAAAGAAAAGTGGAATATGCTTTGTTAGACAAAGCCAGTGTGTGTGTGTGTTTAAATATAATAAACAACTGATGAAACACAATGAACACAATCATAACTGACTTTTGGAAGCACAAGATTGCTTTCATTTTTGTTATTACATGATCTGTTAAAAGAAAATTGCATGACTTATTTGATGCGCATGGTGGGATTTACTCTGTAAATGTGTTTCCATAAATGCATTTCCATTAAGCACTTTTTGTGTGATATTCCCGCATGTGTATAAAAAAGGTGGATGGAATCAAAGCTAGTCTGCCAGATATTGCTTTGATAAATAAATAAAAGCAATTCCCTGAAGAAAAATGCACCAAATTAGGTTAAATGCTGTGCTGATAGGATACTGAATCGCTGAAGCAAACCTTCATCTTTGCAATTTATTAACACTCTAATGTTCACATTATGTATTAAAACAAGTCCATCTATCCAATGCTTATAATAAGTAGATATGATACATACCAGCACCCCCTGTAGAGCTCCTTTACTCACCTGCTGTGGGGAGTCAGTGACATGAATTTATTCATCGTTTTCATTTATATATATATATATATATATATATATATATATATATATATATATATATATATATATATATATATATATATATATATATATATATATATATTTTTTTTTTTTTTTTCACAGTTTTATTTTTTAATGCAAAATCCCTTACCTTGAACTGGATCTTGGTGACGTCATAGCTGGCTCCTGGTCTGCCATTACACTTGAATAATTATGGCAATAGGCACTGCCACCTATTTACTCAAAGAACAAGTGCTCTTATATTTACAATGGGTTTAACTGCTAAAATCATTCCCTTATAGTCAAAATGATGGCTTTAAATTGTTAAATGAAAACGTGGCTCTGTTTAAAAGTGCACAGCTGGTTAATATGGATTATAAATGGCAGCATGGCTTTGATTGTCACAGCGGGTGCAATCAATAACGCTGATGAATGCACACCTACACTTAAAGATCAAGGTTACATGTCTTCATTTATATTTTATTCAAGCCTTGCCAGTAAAATGAAGCAGCACATTTGTGATGTAAAAACAATATCACAGTTTTTGTTTCCATTTGAGTTGTCGACAACATGCCAAGAGATTTTTTTTAAAGATTGTTGACGCCATTCAAATATTCGTGTGCTGTTAAACTTACTCCTTTATTACAAACATCGCCTCAGGTTTGTTTTTTTCCAATTAATCATTCAAGTGAACTGTCAGTAATAAAATAAAGAACAAATTACATGCTTTAGAATCAATTAAAACAATAGAACACATTTAGTAAACACTGAGTCAGGTTTAAAAATGAGTCATTCAAGTGAACACTCGGTGATAACGTACAGAAATAAATACAAGGAATAGAACAGTAATACTATACTAATGATTGTAAGCAGCGACTCAGTGGTTAGCACTGTCACCTGGGCCAGTTGGCATTTATGTGTGGAGTTTGCATGTTCTTCCCGTGTCCATGTGGTTTTCCTCCGGGTGCTCCGGTTTCCCCCACGGTTCAAAGACATGTGCTATAGGTAGATTGGGTAAACAAAATTGGCTGTAGTGTATGAATGTGTGTGTGTGTGTGTGTGAATGTGAGAGTGTTTAGGTGTTTCCCAATACTGGGTTGCAACTCGAAGGATATGCACTGTGTAAAACGTATGCTACAATAGTTGGCTGTTCA